AAATAAATTCAAGTTTGCGAAACACGGACACGAAACTGTCTGATGAAATGGATACAGGTATATAGTGTTCTGTACTACTGTGTCAAAGATAATACTTAAACTATAAGCACAACCATAAAGACCGGAACTTAATTATTGTTTCAAGCTCATCCACACGGGAGAAACCCACAAAAAACACTAAAATTGTAAAATATAGGTTAAAGCATGCAGTTGCGCCATATCATCATGTGCAACGCATTTAAGCAGTGGCTTTAATTAGAATAATTAATGGCATGTGAAGAGTTATGTAGCTTAGCTTTCAAGCCTAATTATAACGGGGGACCATTTGATTTGACTGCACCAGGATACACTGAAACAAAGCCCCCCAGAGAACAAAATGATGAAGAGAGCAAGTTCGATCGGCATCTTCACCACAACCATATTCTACGTGCTATGTGGCTGCATAGGTTACGCAGCATTTGGAAATGACGCGCCTGGAAATTTCCTCACTGGCTTCGGCTTCTACGAGCCCTTCTGGCTCATTGACTTCGCCAACGTCTGCATCGCCATCCACTTGATCGGAGCATACCAGGTCCACCAAGATCCCCAACATTTAATATATATATATATATATGTATATAATTAATTACAAGCAGCGTTACAATAGATTATATTATATTGACCAAACTTGTTGATGAACATGCAGGTATTCTGCCAGCCCATATTTGGGTTCGTGGAGAACTGGAGCAAGGAAAGATGGAGCGAGAGCAAATTCATAAACCACGAGCATGCTTTGAACATTCCTGTGTGCGGGACGTATAACTTGAACTGGTTCAGATTGGTGTGGAGGAGTGCTTATGTGGTGGTGACGGCAGTGATAGCGATGATATTCCCATTCTTCAATGACTTCTTGGGACTCATTGGTTCGCTCTCGTTCTGGCCATTAACGGTTTACTTCCCCGTTGAGATGTACATTAAGCAGTCGAACATGCGAAGATTCTCCTTCACGTGGACATGGCTCAAGATACTAAGCTGGGCCTGTTTGATCGTTTCCATTATCTCTGCCGCCGGCTCCATCCAAGGCCTAGCTCAAGATCTCAAGAAGTACCAGCCCTTCAAACCTCAACAATGATCATATATATGCATGCATATATATGCTCAAATTCAGATTCAAGTGCTATATATATATATATATATAAATATGTTTGCATGTTTGTTTATAGCTTTCTGTTCTGTCAGTTCTTAATTATAATAATAAATAGCTGGGTATATATAGTCCGGCGGGGATAATTTAATGTTATTAAATGTTCCTATGAATGTAACACCTAGCTGCAGCATATATTCAAGTAAGAAATTTCTTAGATGCTTTGAAAGCAAATGAAGCAATATATAGTAACTGCTATGTCTCCAGCATACTCATCACTGCAACTATAAGATTATTATCCACGGCAACACATAAATATAGTGTTACTTTCGATCCTAATTATAAGACCTTATTTATAGATTAGGGCGGGAGGCAGTATATGAAAGATGCATGCATGTGAGCGTCTAAATCAGAATATCATACTCCACTTTCTAGTGGCACGCGTAGAGACACCCGAATGCTGCCCACCCAATATGAATATGTGTGTGTGTGTGTGGTGTCGATATGACCATTGTCATAGAAAATGTCAAGTATTATTCTGCACTTTCCTCTCCTTTAATGAACATCACACTGATTAAAACGACTGGGAAATAAATTCAAGGTGCGAGAAATTCAAAATAATCATCGTACAGCTTGACATAAAACATGGCAAATAGTGTTAGAACCAACAAAACCTTAAATTAATTAAAGAAATGTCTGCCGTTCGTTGATGAGAAGAGACATTCCAAAACCTTGTTATAATATATTACATGTTAAGGAAAAGCATTGTTAGTGGGGTGTTGATAACTTTAATTCGGGCTTGCGTGGAAAGGCTTATTCCAGAGGTGAACGTTAAAATTAATGAAGAATAATATAACAAGTTCCGTGGTGTTAGGAAAGTGGAGTTGAAATTATTGGAATTGGAATATTAAAAATAAAGAGTGGCGACTTTGGGGCAGTGATGTCCACTAAAATCTAATCAATAACCTCCCAATTCCCATCCGTATTGCACGTTCCTCATTGGTTCTCGCATTCCATTTGTACGCCTCAAGGTTGGAAATTTGTTCCCCGCTACATCCCCACTCTTTCTTTTACTTCTACAGTGGTATAGGCGTGCTTCTCTTCTTCATTATTAAATTTGAGCATATATTAGAAAAAAAATATTTACACACACACACAGAGCTTACTCAATCATATGATGGTTCGATTGAGTGAGCCAGGAAAAAACTTGAACGCGTGCCGCCCATTTTCACAAATTAGTTGAAGCTTTTTGCCGAATCTCCACCTGGAAATGAACGCAACAAAATGAAAAATGGGCATGTGTGTTTGGAATTGCGATCTCGAAATGGTGCCTGAATTTCAAAAGTCATATCATATGGAAAGCAACAAGTTATTATTTTCGGACAAATGTCTTTCTGGAACTGCACCAAAAGAGCATCCACTTAACTTGTTTGATTGAGACTGTGGGTAAACTAAATGAGTGGGTCATTTTGTCCTGCATAATTTTTTTTGTCACAGTTATCCACCTAATCGAAACAATCTTGTTTTAGACATTGTTGGATACTAATATTAGTATTTAGTTCATCACATTGTGAGTGATTAGTTCTCTTTGTTACACTCAACCTGTTTATTATATGAAATTTAAAATTAAATGCTGGCTGTGGTTTTTATATTTTATGATGCTTAAATATTTGACAGGATATTCTGATTGGACTGGGCCATAGTCCGTCGGCTTCATGGACTCATTCTCCCTTCGTCAAGCTGCACGAGCTTCTCAGTTTTGGAAATGGAAATACGTGAATCTAAAACGCGTCTGGATTGCATCCGATACGTGGCCCCGACCCGACACAGTTTCAGATCGTGTGAGAAAAGGTCGTATAATATTTAAAATAAAATTGACTCAGCATAATGAAAATTGTAAGTAATACTAAAATTAAAAAAAAAATCTAATAATATTTATGAAGAGAAAACAAAGCCCCTCCGTTTTGAAAGTGATATTTGTAGCAAGAAGATAAGAAATCAGATATAAATGCATTATTATAAAAATGTCTATAGTATATGGTCGTGGCTGTAAATTAATTTCCTAACTAATATTGTCTTTCCTCTAGAGAAGATTGATTGCATTTCATTTTATTTTTAACTCTTCGCTATCTGTTCGTGCAATATAAAACGTTATCAAATGTTAAGGGAGCAGAAAGATACTGTGTCAAGGAAATTGTAACGACATGGAAGTTTTTAACTTCTGCGAATTGTCATGGACGCCCTGATAGCAGGTGACAATTTTCTCTTCCATACACGGTTCTAAAATAAAATTAATTTAAGCATTCCCTATAAATGTTACTCTATACTAAATATAGTTATAAAACCCCATTCCCACTCCCAATCCATTGAAATTCAAACCTACATATCAAACATAGCCTCAATTCCTACTGTGGGGGGAAATACTACTTATTTTCCAATCACAATTAAATGCTTACTAGAATTTTTATATTTATAATGCTTAATTTGATATAAGAATTAAAATCTGGGAGAATAGAACAGAGAACCTATAGAGAGAAATATTTAGTAAAAGATACCATGAAAAGCAGAATTATTTAAAAGGACCAGATGTTAAAATATAATTTTAGAAAGACTAAATTGCTCATAACTAATTCTCCTAGATTTTCTCATAGGATCTCAATTACTCCTTTGGTTCTTAATACAAGACCTAATTGTTGAATTAATTTTAGTCCTAAATATAAGACCCATTTCTCATATTTATCAATTTTCTCTAAATTATCCTTATAGATATTTCCTTAATTATAATCAAGTAGAAGAGGAAGAAAGGGTATTAAGAAAGATGATTATGATATTTTAGGAAAAATGTGTCACGTTTCTTATAATTAACTAACTTACCTAATTTTTTTTAATCTAATTAAATTAGTTAAATAGGTCTTATATAAATATCAGAGGAGTATTTGACAACTAGTGAATTTCTCATTTTCTATTAGCCTGCACCTTACTTCACAGTTGCTTGTCAAAGTGGCGACAGGGACGGCTCACAAATTATTTGATTCATTTACCATTTTTTCTTTGTAAATCTGCAATCATATTTTGACATCAGATGCCCCCGAGATAGGCAACCAAGAACTGATCCTTCTCAATCTGCAAATTTAAACATGATATAGTTCAATTCACTTGGTCACAAAACTCCGTAATTTGTTTGACAAAAATACTACTCGCTAGCTTTTTTTTAATTTTTAAAACCATTCCTCTAATCTCAACAGTGGTAGAAGCATGGCAACTCTTGAATGGAGCTTCAGTAAAAGTTCGTTCCTCCACCAGTGGTTGCTGTATCTGGATAATCATTAGCCATGTCTAACCTATGGATTTTCGGATCTTTTTGAACTGTTCAGGCAACGTGCAGAAACTTCAACTTCAAGATTATAGCTGATATAAGCGGAAAAATGACAGATAGACTCAGATTCACGAGGAGACAGAAAACGCAACCAACAAAAATAATTCTGTTGTGAGTTGTTCCTGTTGTTGCAGGGCATGCATCCCAGTGTGCATCTCGCTCGATTTATGGCATTCTTTTAATTCTTGAATGAAAACAAGGGCAAAAGAATTACAGGGGAAACGAAAGAAGTAGACAGGGGTAATTTGATATTTTAAAATCTATATTTTAATATTTGGTTCTTTTAAGTAATTTTAGTTTTTATAATCTAAAATAAAGAGGACCCGAGTCCGAATATATATATTTTTTCCCATGAAAGTGAGAGAGTCAAATTATTTTTGGCACCCGCAGGCCGCAGCCGGGAATTGCCTCCTCGAACGACGGCGTTTCGTCGAGTCACATTGTTTTAGGGGAAAATCCCCCATGGTCGTTTAGACGACATCGTTTCCAACAGACAGCTGTCTTCTCGAGAGATTGCTGTGGCGGAAGCCGGGAGCAATTCAATTCTCAAGCGGAGGTTGGATAACACACACTCAGGCAGGTAGCGTAAGCACGGAAAAATGAAGCCGTTGGGATGGTGGCTGATGCTGGTTGGCACGCTCCGATTAGCCTCCGTCTGGTTCGGTTTCTTTGACATTTGGGCTCTTCGACTTGCCGTCTTCTCTAACACAGATAGTAACTCCTATCTCCTCTTCTTGTACTCTCTCTCGATCTTCTTCCATTCCTACAATACCGCATATTTTCAAGCTCATATTATTGGAAACCTCTTAGATTCACAATAGATTTTTGGAGGACAGCCTGTTTAGCTTTCAAGGACAATCACTTTCATTGATGAAGTCATCTCCACATGCTGCTCTCGAGGGTGTGAACAGTAGACGGCCTGTTCTTAGGTAGCCGAGGATAGTTAGCTGCTTCAGCGGCTGTAATGGTTGTGTGTATATTCAGATCTCAGAGTCTTTGTATACTGAGTCAAATAAGTAAAAACTTCGGGGAGGTCCATTGTATTAGATCTGCTAGATCCCTATACTAAAATTATTCTCTTCTGAAAATTTATTTATATGCACAATGCAAACTTACTGAACCAACTTTTCCTTTTACAAGCAAACAGGGCGTTTCCAGATTTTCAAGAAAGCTTTTTAGAGTGAAAATTTCCAACTCTGACAGTGTATTTGCAAAGCTTTTGTTATCAACTTTATTTAAAATTAGTTTTTCCTCTGTTCCATTTCTTCACACCATTTTTTTTCCAACTGATAACTGCTATTTGTGAGGTCAACTTGATGTAAGCATTGGGAACAAGTTCATTGGTTATCCTTGTCTCTGCTTGCTTAGCTATCAAATCCCCCAGTTTAAACATACTCGGCATACATCCTGTTCTTATGATCTTATTGGTTCCCCTAAGATCAGCAAATTGAAGTTTGATATCCTTGCTTAAGATTAAGAAACATACAAGAGTTCATATTAAAACAAAGTAAGTACTTCTCTTTGATCTATCTGGTGTGGTCATTAGGTAATTGCAAGCAAGCCGGCATATTTTTTTATTGGCAAACTTGTTTTAATGCATTGTTCAAGCTATTTGTATTGACTTTGCTTTCAAACATAGTCCTACTAATGTCATGAATTTCAGGGAACTGATAATACTTATTCATTATGTGTAGTGTCTGAAGTTCATGGACGGACATTTGGAGTTTGGACACTCTTGACCTGCACTCTTTGCTATCTCTGTGCATTCAACCTCGAAAATAAGCCTCTTTATCTGGCTACTTTCTTGTCATTCATCTATGCATTTGGTCATTTCTTGACTGAATACCTGATTTATCACACGATGGCAATTTCAAACCTGACCACCGTCGGCATATTTGCTGGTATGAGAATTTCTTTCCTTGTTTACCACCAAAATGACGTGCATCACATTTCAAAACTGTCTTGTGGGTTTTAAGAATTGTTTGTGATTTATTTATTCTTTCGGCTCCCCTGAAATAAACAAACTCCCCAGAATTAAGGGTGTGTTTGGTACTGAGGTGAGGGAAAAGGAGGGGAGGGGAGGGATTTTAATAATTTTCTTTTATTTAGCAACATACAAATTTTAGGAGGGAAAGGAAAATCTTAAAAAAATTTCCCTCTTCTCCCCTCCTCAATCTCTCCTTTAAAATTAGGAGGATTTGGAGGGAAAAGATAATATTTTACCATGTTGTGACCATTATGTCTATATTTATTTTTAATATCCCTATAGTACGTTAATTTCTTTTCTTCTTGTCTCCAGAGGCTGTTTTATCCTTTACATGACCAAATGTTTCATTCAAAGATAAGATACAGTACAAGTTGTGGCTAAACAGTATTTCAGCCTTCTTTTTAATAATACTTTACACTCTAAAGCATATTAGAATTTTGGTATAAGTATTACTCAATATATTAAATGTTATTTACAATTTTATTTTATTAAACATTCTATAAAATTTGAAAAACTAATCTTAAATAAAATAAGGATAAAATTATTCATGTGAAAATATTTTTTCCTTCCCCCTCCTTATGAACCAAACAAGGTAATATTAAATCTCTTCCATTCCTTTTTTTTTTTTATATATAAATCTAAACAAGATAATATTAAAATATTTCTACTCCTCTCTCTTTCTTTCCATTAAAATCCCCCTTCTCCTTTTCTTTTTGTTGAGCCAAACAGACCATAAAAGAAAAGAAAAGAATAAAAGAAATCCGAATCCAAATACATGTGCTCTACTTTATTCTTTGCCAGCTACTATAATTTGGATTTCGAGAGGGTGTACTTCTTCCTTGTTCTCAGATTGTGTGTTTATGACTAGAATGTGCCGCATTGTTGTTCTAATCTTCTAATTTTCCTATCAGGAACTTCTATAGTGTGGATGGGCCTGCAGTGGAATGCACACCAGAATGTCCACTTAAAACATTCTTAGTAGCAAGTGGCAGATTATCCATGATTTTTCATGATAAGCAGGATTTTAACCATGACATATCCTTCTGTGGAACAGAGCTGGATCCAGGATTAGTAAAATTTTGAAATGTTGCTTTCTCTTGAAAGGGGGACTAAAGTGTATTCATTTGTTGAAGGCGTTGGACGGCTATAAATGCCTCTCGATTTTCATATGCCCCTAGCTGAAGTGATGCTTTACTCTCTTCGAAGTTTTAGTTCATTCTCATTCTTTTTGTGTTTTGTGCCAAAGCATTTTGTATTGCAATAATTTACAAGCTTGATCAAAGTTGCCATGATTCACTTAACGAGTTGTTTTTATGTTACTAGCCGACAGGACTAACCGGCACCAACATTAATTTTCAAACGCAACTCTTACGTATGAACTCTGATATCAGCACTGTTAGAGGAGTAATAAGGTAACCAAAATTGGGATGTTCCTCACGCACATTTGGCGCCTCTCTCCAAATCCAAATAACCCGATGCAGCTCTCAAAATATCAACTTCATCTCGATTAACAAATCATTATTATATTTTGAGTGAGTGAATAATTTTGATTTTTGGGTGAAATTTATACTGCGGCTTAATTTGAACCCGATTTTCACGGCAAAGCGAAACACTTGAGGCCGGCCTTTGACGCAAGATTTGAGAAAAAGGGCCTGCTGAAAGCGAAAGCAGTGAGGAAAATTTGACGAAATCGAATGGCCAAATCTTTATCATGTGGCTTCCATTCCATATTCAAAACTCGCATTAAATGCTTCCCTGTGCAGCCTCAAGGGTTAGTTTAACAGCAAAAAGACTGTCATCTTTTGCTTTATCCAGTCAGGTACAATAAACCACAAGGCAACGGGACAGAACTTTTATTCTCTGGTGCGTTAGACCAATATGGAGGGCACCCATGAAATCCTCCAGAATGGTCTCACCTTATTTTGCACTTGTAACAAAAATACCAAGAAGCAAGTCTCACTGTCTAGTGTCTAACGCGAAATTCGACCTCGAGACATGTCAGCATCCTCCTCACCAATGGTTTTGATAATTTTCAACGTCCAAATCCGTCTTATACTTTATATTGAGTATTAAATGAATTGAAAATTGATTTTTTTTTCCTTATTGCAAGAAAGTAAGATGACGTATGCTGGCGTGGCTTGTGTAAATCTCTTGGACGTGGGAGCTCTGCATTCTGATGCGCAGATCTTGTGGGGATATGAAAAAACAGGGATGCATCTGATCTGACCCACCTCTCCCACTCTTCTCACTCTCCTTCTCTCTTTTTCTGCCAATTTGCATTAGTCCAATCACAAGCCTTCACGCTCCCGCTTTCTCAGGTTTCTTTAATAACCCTACAAACTAGACTCTGCACAAAGCTTGAGACAAAGAAGCTCAGATTTCTCAATTCTCCTCCAATTTATAGATATCACTTTTTTTGTTTTTTTAAATTACAGACGCTAACGTAGATTATACGACAAAAACGCCTCATTAGTTATTACAATTCTCGCTTGTGAGCTGAGAACTGCCGACGTAATTACAATAAGTGAAAAAACCCTCATCCAGTTCCAGACTTTGATACGTTTATGAACCGGACATTCTCATAAATAAACAAAAAAAGGAGCCAGAGATACGTACAATATAAGAGTTGCTAAACCTAAATCTCTACCCTATACGGCGGAGAATAATGAGTATTTTTCGCTGAAGTGATACAATTTTGTTGCTCCCCAAAAAATGTATGGGACCTGTTTTGTGAATCATGGATTGAAAAAGAAGTTGCCACACTTGCATTTCCAACTCATGGGTTTGTAGTTGGAAAGGTCATCGCCTCTGGAGTGTGGAATGGCTGTTGTTGCAGAATTTGTTGTTCTGCTTCTGCTGTGGCTCTGGACTTGAGGTATAACCGGCACCTGAACCGCTTCACAACGTCCACAGCTCCTGCATCTTCCTTCACACCTCGGAGGCCTTGATCCTATCTGAGCTTTCGACTCCCTTACAAACCCCTGCTCTTCCATGCCCCTCTGATCAATAGATTATATATTATGAGTTCTGGGACATATTTGTTACACAAGAAAGAAACTTATAGCCTAATACATGTACTCAGAGCTATATGACTTGGGAAAGAACAGGAAATCAAGGTTCAAATTAATCACTATATGGATAAAGATATCTTACCTTTGAAGCCTCAGTTAACGTGGGAATTGTTCTGCCTGCATGCATAAGAGTACAGACAAATCAGCAAAGTTGGATGTGAAAAAGCTTGGTGTTTTGCACTAAAACCAGGGTAGAAAGAAGTAACCTAACCTTCAGCCATGAACCCTTCCTGAGTGAAGATTGAGGTTGACGCGAAGAGAGTAAGGAAATATATGATCATTGGTATGTATTTGTGCCAACAAAAGCAGATTCGATTGCTGACCATTTTCTCAGAGGAAGAGACTGCAGAAGAAAGGAGGAGTTGCTTCGGGTGTAAATACAAAAACTTCTAAAATGGGCGGGAAAGTAAGACGTAAGTGGTGTTATAGTGCATGAGAGTGCACTCAGAGTGGGAGTAGCAGACGAGCCATTTCTGCAAAACTCCAGAATTTGACAAAGAGATCACTGCGATGGTGGAAGCAGTACGCCAAATGTTGTGAGTGTTCACTGTTCAGTTTGAAATAAATGGAGACCCGGAAGCGATATCTGCATGACTGTGGTGTGAGAGATGAGAAAGAAAATAAAAAAAGGGGGGGATAAGTGACAGCAGAGAAGCAGTGAAGCTGAAATTCTGAAAAAAGTGGGTCAGAGATTGAATGCCACCTCTATTATGCAGAAAAGGATCAACCCTTCTGATGCCTTAAATAATTTCCTCATCAATTGAGAGCAACGTGGTAAGCGAACTGCAGGAGGAGTAGAGTAGGCCAACACTTGACGTTGAGAGAAAGAAAAGGGATAGCCTCGTTTCTTGTGCCTCCAAAGACCCCTAACTTGTACGGTGAAGGGGAAAAACAAACTTAAAGACATACTAGCGAGGCTTTAAAATAAAAATTAATTAACTAATTTAAATAGATTAAAAAATTAGTTAAATTAATTATTTATAATAAATAGGTATGATCTTTTTAAAAATTTTTTACTAATCAAGTGTATTAGTCAGAATTATCATTATTATAAAAATTATCTAAAAAATAGATAATAAGAGATAAAATGGTTTACGGGTTTTATATTTAAAATTAAAATAAAAATTAAATTAATTTTTATATTAAGAAATTAAGGTAATATATCATATCATAATTCATATGTAAAGCCAGAACAACAACATGCACCCACCAAACAATCTCTTTAAATAAAATAGAAAATTTAAATTACGTATGACCGGGTGGCAAAAATCGCAAGAAGCGGATGAGGATTCGTTTTTACACTTTCTTTGGTGAAAAAAACTCTGTCCATCCCTACTCCAACACGCCAACTCTGTCCTGTTTTGCCAAGGCAAGTCAAGTCGCGGAGTCTAGGTATCTAGATCTACAATGTTCCCTTTTTTTTTTTTTGGGTGGACCACAATATTACCAAGTTATTAGTATATACTATATAGAGAGATTCACACCTTGCAAGCAAATTCAGGCACAGTAGTGTCAACTATCAAGCGGCAGCACGGTTAAATTTCAGTCTTTGGATAACAAGGTCACAGTTTTTTTAAGTAGATTTAGTTGAACATGCTATACTAATAAGAATCAGTAAAACATGTAAATGTCTATTATCTATTTATCTAAAATTCACGTACCTATTCAATCCACCCAGGGATTTATCGATAGATTTATTGCGAGGGGGAACATAAATAAATGCATCTCCCACTGTGAAGTTCACCATCAACTGTCTTTTATGAGAGGGTGTGGCGTAGGAAGGGTCAAGGGTGGGTCAGTTGATATTGAAAGATGAAAAGTGGATAGCTGATACTTGAGAGGAGTGAGTGAGGACTGCGGGAGACATTGAGCTTGACATTTGCTTGCTGTTGGCAGATCATGTGCTCTTGCTATTTCAGCATTACACGGAAATGTTGATATTAAATTTTATGTATCCATACCCATGACTCTGTGATTTGATCTCCTCCTTGTTTCTCTCCTTTCCTTCAAATTCACTGCTGCTTCATCATTTTTATGCCGTGCAATTATGAAACGTGCAATTGATAGGGTTTGAATTAAAAAAAAAGTTGAATATTCATGGGAATCCAAGGAATAAAGCATACTCCTCTGGTCCTATTTATAGGACAAAGAGAGAAGATATTTTGATCTTATTTATAAGGCATTGAAAGAAATTTTTTGTATAGATGTACAATTTTACCCTTCATTTATTATTGTATTGACTTTGTTTATATGAGATATAATATATATTCAATAGGGATAAAGTTAGAAAGTTGTTGAATTTTAAATAAGAGTTAATGAAGTTTAAGATTTTCCTTGATCTGTGTGAAATATGTTAAAAATGATTTATAAATAGGACCAGAGGAGTATGCATTTGTGTCATATTAAATTGTATGCAATCCTTTATCCATGGGTTCAGTAGGTAAAGAGGTTGGACATGCCTAGTGAGGGAATGGATTCAACCCTGAAGTATGTTGCGGTGAAGGGGGAAGTGTCTTCAAATCCAATGCCTCAGCTCATAAACAATAGGATCCTCCCAATCTAATAAAGTTATGGTACTGGATAGAGCTGAGGTTAAGATTAGTTGTCTTGTCATTAGATCGTGGATAAACTCAAACCTTGTCCTAAATTTGATCACAAAAAAAAAAAATCTCATCTGAATTTCACTAACGCTCCTCTTTTGTTGACTAATCAAGATGCATTATATTATACTATACTGCATACCAAAATTCCCGATTGAAATAAATTTAACATTGCACAACAAATAGGAGGACAAAACCTACTGTGTCCCCCCTCAAGCCTTCCTAACATACTCTGCGCTACTTAGTCAATCTTAATGTCAGCATTCATTATATGCTGAAGACAACTAATGGTTTGGGGGGCAAAAAACAGGGAAAGAGAATAAAAAGAAAATTACCGGTAAGAAGATAAAATTAAATGCTTCACATTCCTCCTTCTATCATTAACCCTATTATTGTGCCTGTACGTACAATTTCCTCTTCCTAAACTTCCCTAGTTCCTCGTATAAGAAAGGGGTCAAGCAGAATAAAATGTCAGGGAAACTATAATTCAAAATTGTCAATCATATGCTGGATAACGTCTGCTCCGGCAGAATTGATGCGGTTGAATTTGACCTGAATACAAGTGAAAATAAGATTATGTTAAATGATTTACAGAATCAGCACAAGATAGTAAAATCATAAATAGGACCGTGACAGTGAAGTCTTTGTAGTCCTGATATTTTCTAAAGAAAGAAACAGACGAAACAAAAGCTTTGCGATTCTTGTGCACGATTAATTTCTATTTCAAGACACAGAACTTGCCTGAATAGCATTATGCGCTAGATATTTCTGTCTGCTGCCACTGAAACTCACATCAATGCGATCCCAGCTCATTTTTGTTAAGCCTCTTATCATTTCCTCTGGCAAGTGTTGTTAATACTTGAGTAAAATGATCGAGAATATTACACAGTACAGGTATAAATCATCACTTATTCCTCTTCAACCAGAACCAGACGGTATCTTCACATTATTGTATTCCAATACAACGATATAATAGTAAAAAATCTCATCTCAGTTGCTCTCCCCAAATACTTGTCCTTCTAAAATTAAAAGGACAAGTACCATAGAATACAGTGACAAGCCAAAACCTGAGGAATTTCAGTTAACAAGTACTCTCTCTCTCTCTTGTGAATTCAGAAAGGTGAAAATACCTTCGAGGTCAATTTTACCGGGCTCATTGACTTTGGTTTCAGCCTCATCAGGAACGTTAGTGGGATTTGCTATCTCCGCATTTACAATATGTGGATACTTCTCGTGCCGTGGAAGATTCTGAAGAAGTAAAACCAGCAAGTTACAAATTACGATACAAAGAAACTAAGTTACTGAAGAAACGTCATGATTACCTTGGGCTTGGGGAGTTCTTTCCTACGCCTTATAGATGATGTACTCCACCCCACAAGTTCTGTTATAGAGTAAAGTTGTTCAAAGAAATTATTATGAGTCTAACTCATCATTAGTTCTACTGATTTAAGTTCTTGTCCATCTCCTACACTAAGCAAGAGAAAAGGATACGATCATGACGAACATTTGCATAGGCAACACGTCGTTTGAAGGACTGCAAAGCAGATCTGCAGGGAAGAGGCACAGTGTTACCCTAGATGATTCCCACGAGGCAAGTCAGTCATAAAAATCAAATTATGGGTCCAGCTTACAAGAATTTCAAATCTTCGTTATCATGAACCATCTGAACAAGAAGTGGAGGCTTTCCATTGTCTTTATCAGCCAAAAAAAGATGTTTTCCTGTCTTACCAAGAAACCATGAAACACGAGTTGCTGCTTTCTCCAGAGTGTGAAATCCACAGAACACCGGAACCTGAAGAAGGTTTCAATTTGACGCATTCATACTACGTCATTCACTTACTTCAATTGCATCGGACAACGCGTAAATAAGTCCCAAAAAATTGATAGATAAACCGAGTAACTTGAAAATGTGACACCTCAGAATATTTAGGGACATTAAACATTGATATTATTAGAGTTTTCATTCTACTTTAACAAACGAAAATAAGTTTATAACAGCAAGTGTAAACAAGGAGATTGGTAGAACAGAGAATAAAGTCTATAGAACTACCTGTCTATGCCCACGCATTCATACTACATCATTCACTTACTTCAATTGCATCGGACAACGCGTAAATAAGTCCCAAAAAATTGATAGATAAACCGAGTAACTTGAAAATGTGACACCTCAGAATATTTAGGGACATTAAACATAGATATTATTAGAGTTTTCATTCTACTTTAACAAACGAAAATAAGTTTATAACAGCAAGTGTAAACAAGGAGATTGGTAGAACAGAGAATAAAGTCTATAGAACTACCTGTCTATGCCCTCTAGATCCGAGGTGTGGGGTTGCAGAGGTTATGAAATTTATGGGCTCTAGTCCTGCAATTTTTCTTTCAGGTTTCATTTCATTACATTCTGGATCCGAATTGTGATTTCCTGAGTTTCCATTCTCCCGAGCAATTTCCTTTGAAATGTCTCTCTCATAAAGATTGGCTACTGCATACCTTGCAACCAGGCCACCTAAAGAATGACCTATAAATGAAATTTTCTGAACATATGGGTGCCGCTTTATAACTGATATAACCTGGGAAAAGAAAAGGAGTGGGGTTTCAAGCTATCAAAACGTCGTTGAAACATTATAGATTGCATAGAGGAAAGCATATGAAATTACAAACATAAGTTGGTTCCTAATGAAATTCCAGATACAGAGAAGTAATGATAAAAAGTGCTTAGTGCCAAAGTCATAGCTCACCTCCTCGGCTAGTCTCTCTCCCATGACATCAACACCATCAAATGTCAGGATAGAAGAATTACATTCACTGCCTGCATTGCAAGTGGTATGCACATTCCATTTCATGGTGAAATAATCCAAATTTCGTGATGAAATAACCATAGCAAGATTATACGGACTCACAGTGTACAATAATATCATATGGATTCTCTTGAGAAACTCCTTCGCAGCAAATTTCCTGGGCTCTAGTCCTGCAATTTTCTTTCAGGTTTCATTTCATTACATTCTGGATCCGAATTGTGATTTCCTGAGTTTCCATTCTCCCGAGCAATTTCCTTTGAAATGTCTCTCATAAAGATTGGCTACTGCATACCTTGCAACCAGGCCACCTAAAGAATGACCTATAAATGAAATTTTCTGAACATATGGGTGCCGCTTTATAACTGATATAACCTGGGAAAAGAAAAGGAGTGGGGTTTCAAGCTATCAAAACGTTGTTGAAACATTATAGATTGCATAGAGGAAAGCATATGAAATTACAAACATAAGTTGGTTCCTAATGAAATTCCAGATACAGAGAAGTAATGATAAAAAGTGCTTAGTGCCAAAGTCATAGCTCACCTCCTCGGCTAGTCTCTCTCCCATGACATCAACACCATCAAATGTCAGGATAGAAGAATTACATTCACTGCCTGCATTGCAAGTGGTATGCACATTCCATTTCATGGTGAAATAATCCAAATTTCGTGATGAAATAACCATAGCAAGATTATACGGACTCACAGTGTACAATAATATCATATGGATGTCTCTTGAGAAACTCCTTCGCAGCAAATTTCCAATCCTGAGCACTGCGATTAACAGAGGTTAAGCATAAGCACATGACTGCTATCTGATATTAATAATTAGAATTAACAAGCACAAACATCACGTTACAACAAAAACTTAATGTGAAAACAATGATCATCATTCATTGTATCATGCATCTAGATAAGAGGAAAAGAACTGAAAAATTGAACCGATCGAGAAAGATCAGACTAACCTGCCCATAAGACCATTGACCATTATGACCAAGTGAGCGGGATGGGGGCGCTGTCCAGAAGCATCAACAACCTCCATGTCAAAACTTTCCCCCGTTGTGTCATGTTTGATTCTGAGACAACTAAGTTTCGGCATGTATGAACTCCGTTTACTCTTCTTCCTTCTCTTCTTTAATTGACTGAGCTCCTTCTTCTTTGATCCCCCTCCTTCTTTGACCCCCGGCAGTTGTTCCCCATCCCCAGAGAGAAGCATGAATGATGTCAGAGAGCAAAGCGACGATGAGTTGCGGCCACCTTTCAGCTTTTGTGCGTCGTTTAGTTGCGTAAGAACGAAAGGTCAAATGAGGCCGGCTGGAAGCAGTTCACGCGGATGGATTGCACTGTGCTGATTGAAACTAGAGTATCGGGAATCCTGATTCAGAATAGTCAATAGGGGCAGTTCGCAGCAGATCTTATATCTCCGTCGTGTCAGAAAAAGAGAAAATGCGCGAGGACGGGACTTGGACCGCCATCGCCAGTCCTCACTCGGAGGCGAAGCTGCCCATTGATACATTCAATTCCTTGATTGACTCTGACCTTTCGCTCGATGCCTCTAATTTTTCTTTTCGTTTTTCAGGGAGACCACGCTCAGGCTGCCTTCTAGATTCGAAGCTTATATTTGGATAGAAATCTAATGATCATGCCGCCAAATAATCTAAATAATATATCTTCATAGATAATCTTAAAAGGTAAAAACTCTATCGAACAAGCCGCGCACTGTTCGTGGATCACCCTCATCAATGCTAATTATAACTAGTATATTCCAGTAAGACAGGAAATATAGTATTTTTTAAGATAGATTTGACGACGGGATTTTGTAATTAATATGGCTGTCTTTCCCATCTTGTTTCCCCAACTTCATGAATCTGGAAGTCAGTCTCAAGCCCGACTTTTACGTCTAACGCTCGGCAAATACAAACGCGCGCTCCAGAAGGAGATATTTTTCGTTCTCTTAATAATTATTGACATTCTAGACACAATCAGTTGACACGCAATCCCTTGACCCTTACAACGGGTTGTCGAGGGTGCATGGTAAAACTAAGTTTTAATTTTAAAAATAATTTTATGATATATAAATAAAATATGAAAAAAAATTTTTTTATCTCATTTATATAAAAATATTTTTAAAAATACTTTTATAAAAAACCAAAAACTTTTTAGTTGGCCATGAGCCGCAAATATAGGGAAAACTTTTCATCCATTTTTTATTTTTATTTTTTTTGGCAACCTATTTCTTACATTTACGAGCGACCAAGATCGCGACCTAAAAACGAACATTGTTACGTTCAAATTCATTTTCATTAGAAAAATGTTGCGCCTGTGGTTCTAAGGATGGCATGTAGCGGAAATAGAGTTTAACAAAATACTGCTGTATAATATATGATAGAGATAAGGATTAAAAATTTTTTTTCAAAAAATTATATTATTTTTTACGGATATAAAAACTATTGAAATATGTGAATAAGTATTAAATGAAAAAAAATAAAACTTTACAAAATCTGTATGGTATGTGGAGAAATAAATATAGAAATAAAATATCGCCAAATAAAGGCTCCACCTTGGCATGACTTCAGCCGCATGATTCATAAAGTGGACCTGCTGCAGAAAATAATGAAAAAAAAGAAGGGGGGAAAAAAATCTTCCAGCCATTGCAAAGGGGATGAACAACTGGTGGTGGGAGTGACAGCAGAGCCACATCCCTACTTTTGATAGGCAGTCTCTGTAGTATTCGATCTTTATCGAACATTTCATGGACTCCACTCGTCTCTGCATTACTAATATTCTGACAACATCATGAATTTTGGTTTTAGGCTAAATCTCAGGTGTTGTAGTGTTCCTGTTCAATCTCCTCATTCTCTCGCCTCTTCACCTTTCAGGTTTTCTTCGTCTTCCGGTGAGTCCTATTCCATACCGCGTGTCGAGTCCTGGGCCGTAAAACTTTTAGTTTGCTAGTTGCAGAGCAGCTTGATAATCTCATGTATTCATATGCCTATGGGCGTTCTAGTATGTAACTTCGCGTTTGTCATCCGTTGCCCAAAAAGAAGGAATAATTGAATTTTCTAGTTTTTGTTTCAGATCAACTTGCCATGTTTTAGTACAAGTTTTCGCGTTTCTCTCTGTTATTTTAACTTTTGGATACAATAAATATGATTCAGCTGGAGGCAGGGAAGCTTCTGTCAGTCCCACGAGATTATCTTGGTTGCCAACCGTTTGTGAGGAAGGAGAAACTTTCCAAAATGATTTTCGAAGGGCATCCAGTTGTTCGTCATCAGTTTTGGAAACCCTACATGATGATTGTTCGGAAAATGGAGAGATCAAGGTTAGCGATTATCCTTTATGACAACCCTTATTATATTGCAGACTTGCAGTACTTATGCATAGTGCTGTTTTCTATCATTAGCTACTTGAGATATAATAAAATTCTTGTTTCTTAGGTGAACAAAGGAAAGAAATCTTTGAATAGTGTTTATGAAATGATTGATAATCCCCAAATGCCTTTTGGAGAGGAGACATTTGCAACTTCTACAAACTTCCAGTCATTCAAGGCATCACATTTTCGTTTGTTAATGGAAAATCTAGATATTTTAGAAGAAACCTTTTCTGATTCCGAAGTGCTAAGGTTGGAGAAAGATATCATATTGCAACTAGGAAAGCTTGGGGCTCTAGAGTTTTTCAATTCACGTTTGTCAGGATCTCTTCAAACCTCATCTTTTTTGGATATCTCTGACAAACATCCTGAGCAAGTTGGTGAGCATAAGACAAATGGCCAGGCAGATTACCACTTGGGTAAATCTGTTGTCCGATCTAAGAGAAAAGAAAACAAACCAAGAAGGAAGAGAGCATTGACTTCCGAACCTATTCAGGAAGATCTCTTACGCCTAGCGGCTTCAAATGTAAAGAGAGCATCGAATTATAAAAACAGGAGAGTAATAATTGCTAAAAAGGAAGCGGAAATGTCAACAGCAGTAAAGGTTTGTTTGTTGTCAAGAGAATAGAGTGAATTTGTAGCATGCATGTGAAAAATTTGTTATTAATAGAATTCCGTGCCACTGTAGGTGTTGATAGGGCTGGAAAGAATTAGAGCAGCAATGGAAGAGGATACCAAGGAAGCAGTAAGCTTAAGGAACTGGGCAGAAGCAGCTGGAGTCGATGAGAAGAAGTTGCGGCAGCAACTGCATTATGGCCTTTATTGTCGAGATGAGCTTATAAGGAGTACTCGATCCTTAGTTCTATACCTTGCCAAGAAATACAAGGGAATGGGAATCGCATCAGAAGATTTACTTCAGGTGTGTTCCAAACGTTACTGTGAGTAGATGTTTATCATTATTATTTTGAGGATGAGTTTCTTCTTTAACCTTCTACCACATGTTTACTCATGACATAAACCATGGTCTATAGAGGAGCATTTGGTGTCCGTTATCTCATTCAAACATCTTGAACTGTTTGACACCCTCACACAAATTAAGGCCTTTTTTTGCTAGAATTATTAATGTGTCACTACATCAGTTATGCTTTATTATCTTGCCTCACGGTTTCTAAGACAAGACACTTGGAAAGGAAGTCATGGGTGTTGCTTTCGTGAAGTTGGCTAACAATGACAATTATTTAATAATAATGAAACTTTGCTTGCCGATATAATTTACTTGCATGAACGTTCTCTTGGTGCTAGCTTCTGTATTGAGTATGTCTTATCTCTCCACATTTTATAGGCAGGATATGTGGGTGTTCTCCAAGGCGCAGAGAGATTTGATAGTACAAGAGGTTACAAATTCTCAACCTATGTACAGTATTGGATAAGGAAATCAATGTCAAGAATGGTGGCGCGATATGCCCGAGGAATCTTAATTCCTGTATGTCTCTTTTGTTTTAAGAGATTGTTTCTTAGTACCAATCTCATAACTCCTGCCAGAAAAATCTTGAAATTTGATCCTTGTGTTCTTTTCTCCTTCGTTATTCTTCTTAGTGGTCTTTGAGCAAGGCAATAAATCAGATACAGAAAGCGCAAAAGTCTTTGAAAAGTACTGCCATGCAATACACGGATGATTATGAAATCGCGAAGATAACAGGGCTTTCCTTGGATAAAATCAGATCAGCTCACAATTGTCTGAGAGTAGTCAGTTCAATTAATCAGAAGATAGGGGACTGCTTTAGTGTAAAATACATGGTATGTGTTCAAAAATCTCCCTATCTTCCTTTTTCATCATGATCATGATTGTTTGTGTTTACACTGGCAGTATAAGAAAGGGTTATTTGCCTTTAGGCTGATATAGAAAAGGAAAAGGAAAAATTACTTGCTGTGTTCAATATATGATTGATTTCTTACAATAAATTCCCCAAGCAAATTGTAATGGAAAGCATGCGAAGCATATATGGGAAAAGGTTCTCTTAGTAGTAAACACTGTTGTTTCTTGGGTCTAGGATTTGAAGGTAAATCGATAATATGTCTAGCATTCTGTAAGATAGATCTGTTTTTTCCATGTCAACTAATAGGAACATTGTGCAAACAGAGTGTATGGTTCTGTTTGGCGTTATTTTCTTGAATAAAGTTGTACTTGATCTTGGAAGATGTTCGATTCCATGAACATGTATCTAAAGATAGCTGCTCTTAGATCCAAGTCCCCCCCCCCTCCCCGGGGCGGGGATCTTGCATTTTTTTCATGCTCATGTTTTGTGAAAGCCTTGCCCAGTGAAACTGTTGGCGTTGCTGGTCAGGCACATTAGTTTGAACATTCATTTCACCCACGGAGTATGACTATTGACTGGGCGAACCTCTTCTTGGGCAGGGGTCCTTTCCTAGTTCTCCATCTGAAAATATTCACATTTTATGTGGCCAAATGGAACATTATAACTCATGGAAATTATCCCGTCGCCTTAGATATTTTATCGTGTGTAATATATTTCCCGACATCCTTGCTTCAGGAACTCATGGCCGATCCATCAATAGAGAGCCCGGAAGAAGCTGTTATGAAGCAGCAGATGAGAAAAGACATGCATGATCTCCTGAATGACTTGGAACCAAGGGAAAAGCAAGTGCTAGTCCTACGCTTTGGTCTTAATGATCACCAGCCCAGGTCTCTTGAGGATATTGGGAAGCTTTTCCAAGTTAGCAAGGAGTGGGTGAGGAGGATAGAGAAGAAAGCTCTGACAAAGTTACAGAATGAAGCGACCAACTTAAGTTTAAGTAATTATTTGGATTTGTAGTTTCCACTGGCTCTTGGAAAGTTTAGATAACGTCTTCACTTTTGCTGCATGCCGCGAATTTGTAGACTACTTGTCCATAGAGGGAGACGCATGCTACAAATTGAAGTAACATCACAATTGCCTGGAGAGCGGAGACAGTATAGCAAGTCGAATATACTCTGTACAGAAGAAAGCCTCATTTTGTAATACCAGCGTAAATAATATTTCTTGCAGTTTTCACATTTTTGTACGCCCTTGAAAACTCGTTATGGCGTTTATTTAACCATTATATTGTGGATAAAGAGTTCGAGAATAATTCGTTTTATGTTGCTGCCCCTGAAATCATTTTTCAGACTGGTGGGGAGCTTCTAAAACTGCCATTTTGCTATTCGCAAAATATCTCGAACGTCATTACACATCGTAATAGTCTTGCTCGTAACCATTCGCTTCATGGCATCGGCTGACAATAAATTCATGGCGAACTAAAAACAAAGCAACCCTTCTTTCCATTTTGTAATTTTCTGAGAATATTTCACTACATAATTAGATGGGACAGTTTGGTTCCAACTATCTAGAAAAAGGAGGCTGAATGGTGGCCCGGCAAATGCCTGCCGTCAAAATAATTCATGGAAGAAAAGAAGAAAGATAAATTTACTCTGAAAGAGTTGAAAATGGAAACCCTACCAGTTCCATGGGTCGAGGCGCAATTTTTCACAAATATATAGAGGCATATGATGACAAAAAGGAATACCAAGACATATGCTCTTAACTCTCTCTAATGCCACATAAAAAAAAAAAAAATTTTTTTGCCTGAAATGTTACATAACAAATTTAAAGTTTGTGAAAAAAGAAGAAAGAATTAGAGGACATTCTACTCTGGGTATCGCTGCCTCAAGGAAAGCTGCAGCCATCATTTCAAATACGATGGCGTGGCCTATTTAAAACCTAAGGATATAACTCTATCCGTTATTTACATTACACTTGTACAACAGAGTAAGAACTACAACAACATGCATGTTCATGCTTTTCTGTGGAGAAACAGGGCATCTTCCACTCCAATATGGACGCATCCTACTTATATGAAGTCAATCTCTACGGATCTCCTTCCAGCGCCATCGAGTTGCTCCTTTCCGCCATGGTATTGCAATGTTGCAATTGGGGAGAATTTAAGAGACTCTTTTGAATCTCATCAGAGGAAGAACGCAAACTTACTGAATTAACGGTATTGTGGCCAGACAATGAACCAGACCCAGCTGTTGTCACGTGTGTCGGATTAACATCCATGCACCCAGCAGAAGTTGCTCCTTCTTTCCCGCTGCCTACATTTTAAAATTACAATACTATCAGATGCGAGGGATTTACATTGATAGGCCATAGTGAAATGTAAGGTGTGAATTCAAGTGACACCACCATGCAGTCTTTAAATGATGAAATCATGCAGACAGTAATGTGAAGTGGATAAAAGATGGGGTTCTTAAAAATTATTTAAGTATATAACCATGCATCATTCCCATCTTTTTGCATGGACTTGTTGAAATGACTGTATCTAACACCAAGACCTGGTTAGTTTAGAATCACAAGAGGATGAGAAGAAGACCTGTGACAGTTGGAGTGGCGGCTGCCAAATTTGAAAATGAAGGTGAAGTTCCACTCCCTCTTTTCATCTTCGACTGCAGATCAGAAGTTCAGAACAAATGAAGATGTAAGATGAATTGATTGTTTAAGACAGAAGTTTAAGACATTCTTCTTAATCTAAATATTGCTTTGGGTTGGAAAAAAAAAATCCGAATACAGCTGGTGACTAAGATTTTAGACAAAATTACTATAAGATTTGTGCTTCACTAGTCAAGAGGAGAACCCCTAGCTCAAAGCTCCAAGGAGAAAGGCAAAGGCCATGGAAATATGAGTGTCAAGCACCTTACTCAGAGTGAACATACCTTTGTAATTTCTTCACAGTGCTTTACAACAGCTGAGATATTTGCACAGCGACCATATAATAGTGCAAAAGCCCACAAGAGAAGCTTCCTTGGGATGCTCAGATCAAGCGCTTCAATCTCATGCATACTTGGGTGGAACTGAGCTTCGGTTGCCAATTGAGATGGAATTGGATAAAGCTGGACGCCAGAGCCCAGAATTACTGAAGAACTCTCACGGTAAAAGTTGTAGGAAGCTCTGAGCAAAGTGTTTGCAGTCTCCAAATTATCATCAAAAGCTTTCTTGACAACCGTATTCTTGATTTTTGATAAAGTGGGGCTCCATTTATTTTCAATTTTTTCTAGGTGAACTGGGTCTTCAAAAGCTGTATTCCATAATTCATGTGTCTGCAGATCAACACAGAGCAACTGGCTATAGTCCATACAACCATCTGTCAAATTAACAGCCTTGTTCTCATTTGAGAATCCACTTGATAATTGAGTGATTTGTGACAAGCTATAGATAAGACATCGGCACCACGCAGCAGAAGCATGCCTGAAAACTTTTGCACAATTACTATTTGCCAACTTTGGGTTTTTGAATCGTTTGCGAATTTTCTCATTTATTGCTTCAAGAGTTTCCAGTCTTCCATTTTCTTCCAATGACATGATATATTCATGAAGATATCTGAAAAGATAAGGTGATCCGCTTAAGAAATATCAAATTTCCATTGACATATAGTTACGAGCAACTTATAAATTAATCAGCGAAGCTTCAACAAGATTCACAAATACAAGATTTATAGGAAAACAATAATTATATTAGTCTAAAGTTAATTACCCATATAAAATACTCTCAGATGTATCTGGGCTCTTAATTTCAGGCAAGCAGCATATCTCTGGCCATAGACTCCCTTGCTCCATGAACAAAGTAAACAGCCTCTCAAGCACATGATCAGAAATGCCTGATGAATGGGAGCCAGCAGTCTGAGAATGATGCATTGTTGAAATCAGAACCTTTATATACCTTCCAATGGCCACAGGTACAAGATCTTCAATGCTAGTGAAAACTGCATTCATGGGGGGAAGTGAAAGACAAATCAAGTCAGGTTATGATGCTGAGCTGCATATGTAATATGCTAGGTTGACAGAAGAAATTATGCTGAGGGATAACTTATAAATTACTAAAGCATCTATGGAAATTTTTTTTTTTTAATTTCTTCTTCTTCTTATTTTTTTTTCATGTGCGTGTTTTGATTCTATTGTTCTATTGGAGCCAATGAGCTCGTAAGAACACTGCATTTGCTAGATTGGGTTAGGTCCTCCAGAAATTTTCTTCAGGGGAAAATCAACCTCCTCCTATGTTTCGGCACACTTGGATAGGCCTAATTAAACATTAGCTGCAGTACTGGGCAGTGAAATTCATTAAACAATCTTGGCTTAGACGTGATCCCATGCTAAGTCCATCTTCGTTCTTAGCAAAAATTATGAGAAGCAGAAAAAGTGGTCAACTTGAGAATTTAGAGTGCTGCGAAAAGGGATCCTCGCATATTGCATGCCCGATTAGGAACAGGCAATGAACTGCAGTAGCTTGCTCCTCATCATTACTCTATTTCAGAGAACTGGTGGCAAACCCTTTAAATTCTGCTCATCATGTAAAATCTCTTCCTCATATGCCAAAATTGTAGTTCCATATCAACAATAGTGAACTTCTATCACCCTGATATGACCTCTGAGCTAAAACTAATTAATCCTACTGTCATCCAGGCTCTTAGATCAAATGACCCAAAAACATTGAGTAATTTTTGGCTTATAAATATGGATTCCAGGGATATAATTCAAACATCAATGAAATAGTGGAATTTATTACTCATAGATGTATAACCTATGTTGATGGCAAAAAAAAGAAACCTATGTTAAAGTAATACAGTAGGCTTTTCAGATTTACCCTCTTATCTGCTCGAAGAGAATTATATGCACGCTCAAGAGTACATCTGTCTCCAGTTTCCTCCAGAAGTTTGAGATAAAACAGCACATATTTACGAATGCAAGTAATGAACTTCCGTGAACTTTCTGGTAAATTAACTTCAAGGGCTTTCTTGCCCAGCAGAACTTGGTGTCTTGCGCCTGATAGCAATTATGCAGGCAAGGTTAGTCGCTAATAACATGACACTTTGTGTCCTTCTTCACATAGCTAATACACAAGCCGTCAAGTTCAATAAAATTTGAATTTCTTCTGGTTCCAACAAAGAAAGTTAGAAAAGGAAACAAATAAGCATATAGCTGTACCTTCCTTTTTTGACCAAGCTATCGATTTCCCACATATTTATTGTAAAGGAAGAACGTGATGACTTGAAGCAGGAAAGATAGCTGATCTTTTGCCCTCTCTATCCCCCTCTCACCCTCATACCCTTTTATAAATCCCTAGAGCCAGCATGTATCTGGCCTTGTGGAAATGTTTGAGATCCCCCTCCACACAAGTCTCAAGGGCAGAGAGACAGTCATTGTAAAGAATGGACCATGCCTTATCCAATTTGAGCTGTCCTTCATGCTTTACCTCCACAGAATTGACTTGTACACATTTTTCCTTTGTACTCGTTGAGGATTCATCCATTTCACCAAAGACAATAATGACTGCTTCTTTGGCGGATTGATTGAAGGAGTGTGCTGAAAGAACCTATTTAAGACCAAAAGTTGATCCAAATGAGATAGATAGCAATCCATGATAATCAAGTCACTTTAGACATCAAAAGGTTCATCATTGAATTAGCAAAAAATCACAGAATTGAAGACATGAAACCCACATCAAATAATTAAAAGAAAAATTAAGTCGTCATAGAAGGGAAAAAACCTTTAAAATCTCCAAACTTTGTCTTCCATACTTAAAGAGTAGCTTCAGGCGTGAGGCATGCATTCTGTAGACAGGATCTACAGCTGATGTATTCAAAGAAATAGCTTTTTCGTAATACGATAATGAGGTTTCATGTGAATATCCAAGTTTTTCACTGAGTTTGCCCAAGTAAAATGCATGCAACCAATCTTGTCTGCACAGAGTGGAATCGTGTAAAACATCATAAAGAAGTGGAGCAGTACAAAAAGATAACAGGACGAGAGAAAAGGAATATACTTAAGTGCAAAGGCTTTCTTAAAATGTTTCATTGAGTTCTCACAAAACGTCGTCCATGCTCCATCCTTTGAGGGCAAAACAGACCTCTGATCATAAAAAGGCACCACATTCTGGAGGCTGTCGTAATATACCAACGCCAATAGCTCATGTATTTCACACTGCAGCAAAATAAGTGATGAACATAGTTAAAAACAGATCCAATGTATTTATCAAGATATGACCGTGCATATGCTTAGAGTTTCACAATGTATGTTTTTTCCCCTCTAAATATGAAATTAACGTTGCAATCATATAAAGGAGCAGATCCATAATCGCATGGATAACCTACTTTGAGGGTTGCATTAACACTAACATTCGGGTAGAAGTGGGAAAACCGAGAGCTGCATGCTTGGAAAAAGAGGCCGTATGCAGTTGAAAATATGGAAAATATGGATAGGGAGGGTATTTCAGTGATGAGAGGGTGCTGAAACAATAAAAAGTCAGAATTTGAAGAGAATAGGTGGAAAAAACATAATGCGTGATCCCCTGACTTCCATGATATATGATTATATTTGAATTGCAGAGGTTGACGAGGCTTATTGTCTATAAATTCTCAGAGTAGACGGATCCAATTAGTGTCACTGTAGCAGGTTACAGATTTTAGAGAAGACATTTTTCTCAATGCATACAGAGATAAATCAATGGTTGCTGCTCTGTTTTGATTCTAGGAACCAGATTACTTTGCTATCATCCTAACTGCTCATTTTGCGTGTCACAGCAGGGTGCTGTAATCAAGGATGTTGCTTCTGCTTTCTGGCCCACCATAGCTGGAATAGTTCTAAACTACTGGCTATTTTGGGAGTATGTCCAGGTTGTGCCACTATACATCTATGAAGCTTCCTTTGCTAAGATCAGAAAGAGGTCAAGTTCAAAGCTTCATTTGCAACAGCATGGTGCGGCCAACAGCGGGTCGGTGTCATATGCTTAAAAAAATAAGACATCTAAATATTTCATTAATATGGCCTTTTCATTTCTGGGCCAATAAATTCTTTTCTCATTTCTTTTCTTTTGACATGATGTTGCTTATATTCCTGATAAACTAAGATTTACAGGTTTGAAGTGGATAAGGAATTATCAAAAGGGAAAGGCAGTCAGATTCAGCAGAATTAGCTCTGTGAACATGAGAAATTAAATTTCCTGTCTCATTTAATGGTCTAGTCAATGGCTACTGAGTTTGTGCTAGCATGATGTTTCGAGGTGAAAGAATTTGATGAATAAAATCTCAGGAAGCCACCATTTTCCATCCAATATAACACAATTTAGCAAGGGTCACTTAAAATACAAACACACGCGTGCGTGGAAAAACCTGTTGATCAGGTGTTTTTGCCAGAGCTAAGCTCATTAGAAGGCACCGTCTACTCCTCCTTCGGCTTGTTTCTACTCTTTGGGAAAAAGTAGTATTCTTCCGCCATCCTGCTACATTAATGTGTTTGCTACCATCATTCAGCAGCAAATCTACTTCCTGAATCAGCACAACTAAGATTATTAAGAAACAGAACTGCAAATAACAGACAAAGAAACCCAATTCATCATTGTTTTTGCAGTAACCACAAATCACCTCATCATAAATATTTGCAAGACGCTGCCAACTTTCAAAGCGGAGAGGATTATACATTAAATCATATTTGAAGAGGTTGGCATTTTGTTCAACGAATTCTTCCCCTCCTTGGCCAGTACAAAGCCAGGCCATTTATCCGTTGCACTCATCTCCTCAGACAGACCAAGGAAATAATACAAGTTACAATATATCTCCAAATACGGCTCGGACCTGATCGTCCAAATACACTGATATCACTTTAAAGAGCTAAAACAAGGAAAAAGGATGTATACTGAATACTGAACAATGGACATAAGTATAAATTAATGGATGACAGCATCTAGAGTATTGTACACAAATATACCTCCCACATAATAATGCGTTGTACTGTGTGGGGCCTCCCACATCAGGAAAAATAATCTTAGTAATAGTTTCCAGGAATCCATTTGACCCAGCCTCATCTGAGAGTTTATCTTCGCAAAGATCAGAATAATCTAAGAATTTATCTATGGGGTTTCCAGCCAAGACGTCTTCTGGTGGCTGCAGGAAGTGCTTCCTAATAGCTCTCAAAACTCTTCGAAGCTTCACTAATCCAGTTCTCTGATACACACAAATTTCATCAGCACAATTGGAGATGCAAATTGCTGTACAGAATTCTATAGACAAGCTGTAATATTATGATATGCAGAAAGACATTAGAGAGTACTCACGGACGATGCCTTTGCATAGGGAAGAATTGATTGATTGAAGGAGTGTGCTTGAAAGAACCTATCAAGACCAAAAGTGATCCAAATGAGATAGATAGCAATCCATGAGATAGATAGCAATCCATGATAATCAAGTCACTTTAGACATCAAAAGGTTCATCATTGAATTAGCAAAAAATCACAGAATTGAAGACATGAAACCCACATCAAATAATTAAAGAAAAATTAAGTCGTCATAGAAGGGAAAAACCTTTAAAATCTCCAAACTTTGTCTTCCATACTTAAAGAGTAGCTTCAGGCGTGAGGCATGCATTCTGTAGACAGGATCTACAGCTGATGTATTCAAAGAAATAGCTTTTTCGTAATACGATAATGAGGTTTCATGTGAATATCCAAGTTTTTCACTGAGTTTGCCCAAGTAAAATGCATGCAACCAATCTTGTCTGCACAGAGTGGAATCGTGTAAAACATCATAAAGAAGTGGAGCAGTACAAAAAGATAACAGGACGAGAGAAAAGGAATATACTTAAGTGCAAAGGCTTTCTTAAAATGTTTCATTGAGTTCTCACAAAACGTCGTCCATGCTCCATCCTTTGAGGGCAAAACAGACCTCTGATCATAAAAAGGCACCACATTCTGGAGGCTGTCGTAATATACCAACGCCAATAGCTCATGTATTTCACACTGCAGCAAAAATAAGTGATGAACATAGTTAAAAACAGATCCAATGTATTTATCAAGATATGACCGTGCATATGCTTAGAGTTTCACAATGTATGTTTTTTCCCCTCTAAATATGAAATTAACGTTGCAATCATATAAAGGAGCAGATCCATAATCGCATGGATAACCTACTTTGAGGGTTGCATTAACACTAACATTCGGGTAGAAGTGGGAAAACCGAGAGCTGCATGCTTGGAAAAAGAGGCCGTATGCAGTTGAAAATATGGAAATATGGATAGGGAGGGTATTTCAGTGAGAGGGTGCTGAAACAATAAAAAGTCAGAATTTGAAGAGAATAGGTGGAAAAAACATAATGCGTGATCCCCTGACTTCCATGATATATGATTATATTTGAATTGCAGAGGTTGACGAGGCTTTATTGTCTATAAATTCTCAGAGTAGACGGATCCAATTAGTGTCACTGTAGCAGGTTACAGATTTTAGAGAAGACATTTTTCTCAATGCATACAGAGATAAATCAATGGTTGCTGCTCTGTTTTGATTCTAGGAACCAGATTACTTTGCTATCATCCTAACTGCTCATTTTGCGTGTCACAGCAGGGTGCTGTAATCAAGGATGTTGCTTCTGCTTTCTGGCCCACCATAGCTGGAATAGTTCTAAACTACTGGCTATTTTGGGAGTATGTCCCAGGTTGTGCCACTATACATCTATGAAGCTTCCTTTGCTAAGATCAGAAAGAGGTTCAAGTTCAAAGCTTCATTTGCAACAGCATGGTGCGGCCAACAGTCGGGTGTCATATGCTTAAAAAAATAAGACATCTAAATATTTCATTAATATGGCCTTTTCATTTCTGGGCCAATAAATTCTTTTCTCAATTTCTTCTTTTGACATGATGTTGCTTATATTCCTGATAAACTAAGATTTACAGGTTTGAAGTGGATAAGGAATTATCAAAAGGGAAAGGCAGTCAGATTCAGCAGAATTAGCTCTGTGAACATGAGAAATTAAATTTCCTGTCTCATTTAATGGTCTAGTCAATGGCTACTGAGTTTGTGCTAGCATGATGTTTCGAGGTGAAAGAATTTGATGAATAAAATCTCAGGAAGCCACCATTTTCCATCCAATATAACACAATTTAGCAAGGGTCACTTAAAATACAAACACACGCGTGCGTGGAAAAACCTGTTGATCAGGTGTTTTTGCCAGAGCTAAGCTCATTAGAAGGCACCGTCTACTCCTCCTTCGGCTTGTTTCTACTCTTTGGGAAAAAGTAGTATTCTTCCGCCATCCTGCTACATTAATGTGTTTGCTACCATCATTCAGCAGCAAATCTACTTCCTGAATCAGCACAACTAAGATTATTAAGAAACAGAACTGCAAATAACAGACAAAGAAACCCAATTCATCATTGTTTTTGCAGTAACCACAAATCACCTCATCATAAATATTTGCAAGACGCTGCCAACTTTCAAAGCGGAGAGGATTATACATTAAATCATATTTGAAGAGGTTGGCATTTTGTTCAACGAATTCTTCCCCTTCCTTGGCCAGTACAAAGCCAGGCCATTTATCCGTTGCACTCATCTCCTCAGACAGACCAAGGAAATAATACAAGTTACAATATATCTCCAAATACGGCTCGGACCTGATCGTCCAAATACACTGATATCACTTTAAAGAGCTAAAACAAGGAAAAAGGATGTATACTGAATACTGAACAATGGACATAAGTATAAATTAATGGATGACAGCATCTAGAGTATTGTACACAAATATACCTCCCACATAATAATGCGTTGTACTGTGTGGGGCCTCCCACATCAGGAAAAAATCTTAGTAATAGTTTCCAGGAATCCATTTGACCCAGCCTCATCTGAGAGTTTATCTTCGCAAAGATCAGAATAATCTAAGAATTTATCTATGGGGTTTCCAGCCAAGACGTCTTCTGGTGGCTGCAGGAAGTGCTTCCTAATAGCTCTCAAAACTCTTCGAAGCTTCACTAATCCAGTTCTCTGATACACACAAATTTCATCAGCACAATTGGAGATGCAAATTGCTGTACAGAATTCTATAGACAAGCTGTAATATTATGATATGCAGAAAGACATTAGAGAGTACTCACGGACGATGCCTTTGCATAGGGAAGAACATACTTGAAAACATCAGCACACTGTTCCTTAGTCTGATAGTCTCCCCGGCTGGTATTTCTGTGCATCACTAGATCATCTTCATAAGATGAATCAGATCGTAGGTTTAATCCATATAAGCAGAAAAAGCACTGATCTAAGGCACTCTCAATTTTTGACTCAAGTTCTTCCCTTTCATCTTGAGGAAGCTCGTTTCCACATTCAATTGAAGGATTGCTTACCATTTCCCCTTTGCTTAACTCACTGCCAGACCCTGCATCTCCAAGATTGTCACCCTCTACCTGCTTACTGTCTTTATCATGGACTTTGTGGGATGAAATGCCCCTGGCTATTATTCCTTCATGATCATGCTTAAGCTCAGAACCTATTTCACCTATTTTGGCACAGTCTGTCCGAAGATCTTGTGTATAAATCTTTGATTCTTCTGTAGACACATTAACAAGATTGTTTTGGGATGCCTTCTCATCCCATCGCATTGGTTCTTTCTTTAAAGGGTTAAAGCTGGATTTGAGCCTCATATCCGAAGTCAATAGATGCTTTATTGCAAATCTAAGAAATGTTCCTTCCTCGCCTTTGCCACCCTCACCCGCACAGCAAAGCCCATACTCAGCAAGCAAGTCATGTGTTGCCACAATTAAATCAACCTGAGATCAGTTTTCAGGAAAGAAGATTAGCGGTGCTACATGAATCAGTAAGACGATTTTCATTACAAGTTAAATTCTTCGTAGAAGGAAACAGTTCACCTGAGTTTTAATAGGTATATTTGGGTTAAAATGCTGGAGTTTGCAAAAAACAATGGCTGCATCGACAAAACAGCTGCTTTCTGCTTGATCAGAAATCACCAGACCAGAGGCTTTGTCGCAGACAAGTATGTTTGCAAAATAGCTCATGACTGACAAGAGCAGAGATTGAATTTGACATATACTGCTTATTGGACCACTAAGGCCATTCTGCAGGCATAAGAATTAAGATAAAAATGTTTTCACCATAAATGACATTCCATCATTAAAAGTATTGAAGAGGCAAAAGGTTTTGTCACTAAAACTAAGTTTTCAGAACCCACATTAATGACCTCACAAAATTATGATCACAAGTTTGCTGTGAGCATAATTAAAAATAAGGAAAATTGCGGAGGGGGGGAATTATGATGGAAGCCCATCTCAATATATGAGATTCAAATAAAGAAGCAAATATAGAAGTTGGCTGTATACACCGTCTGGAAAAATAAGTCAAGTAGCACTGTTCAATTCATTATCTGTCAATCGTACGAACAAATAGTGAAAATAAGGGGAAATTTTGGATAGCTGATATTATTGAAGACTAAGAGCTTTATAAGACAATTTCATTCGTCTACTAACAAAAAAAACCAGTAAGTTAGAGGCACAACTTCCAAAAAGGAGAAAAGAGAAAAATAAATAAATCACTCCAAGTTATATATAAATATTAAATTCAATAATGGAATTCACTTGAAGTCAAGGGCAAAAATTAGTTGGTTTTAACAACCATAAAATTAAGAGTGTAGCATGATACAATAGTGTATAAACTTTCTTTACAATTGGACCGGGTAATGAGCATCAAGAAACACACTTCATGTCAACGATCCAAGAGTACTGAAACAATCATATTTACTTACAGAATCTACACATTGATCAATAACTTTCTTCACTTTTGAGACACAGTTGGAGAGTGCTTTCACTTCCTCGGCCACCAACTGACTACAGTGCTTGGCTGAACCTTCCTTTGAATCTGCATCAATATTAGGAGGTGTACTAATGCCCAGAGTTTGATGGGAAGGTTTAAATGATGTGGTACACATACTCAACCCCACAATAGCCATCAGTATCTGAAGCTTTCTATGGTGACAATTCAGATAGAGCTCCACATCCATTGGCTTTGTATTTTGGCATGCTTCTATCAGAACATCCAGAGCCATGAGTTCAACCGAGGTTATCTTTTCATCTTTTTTATCTGCTTTGGTTAAAGATAATGAATCAATGTAAACATCCTGTGTAGAAAACAGAAGCGGAGAAAGCAGGGATACACACTCTGAATACATCCCTTTCTCAACCATCTCATTGACAGACTTTTCCATCAAGAAATTGACCTTTAGTATATTAATTTCATAAATAACTCTGTCAATGCTCAGCTCTTTTATAACTTTGCAATGGGAGCGGCAGACTGAACATAGTGAATCATTCGAATTTCGCTTCTTTGCCAAAAGTGACAAACAAGTACATAATTCTTCACAAGCTTTTGCCTTATTGCCATCAAAAGTAGACAATCTCCCACTCAGCCAGAAGAATCGAACCCAAAAAGAATTGTTTTTCATGAGTGAGCTGTCACCCTCAGCAGAGGCAATGGTTTTCAAAGAACAACCTTCATTCAAGTCGTGCATCAAGTGAAAAGGATAATCTAGAGCTACAGACTCTATGACCTTACAGAGATGATAAGATGAGTCTGACATGAACTTTGATTGCTCAGAACCACAGGGAGAGCACAACCCCAAGTCATAATGCAGCTCAGCAAGAAAAAGACTACATTCAGCAGTTCTTTCCTTTCCCCAGTGCCTTGTCAATTTCTCCAACTCCAGGAACTTGACAAAAGCATCTTGATATGTAAGGCTTTGTCTTGCAATCTTCTCTAAAAGTAAGTGCCCGACATGGTAAGCACCATAGTTTTTTGAGGTTTCTCTTACAAATCTAGAAACTTCATTAGATTCAGTATTTACTATGTTGGATGATGATGTGGTGGTATCACGAGAATGTCTACCACCCAATTCACCAGCAACAAAAGTTTCTAGATATTGACTGACAAACCTAGCATGGTCTTTGCCACACAAAGAATCAGATTCTTCTTTCCCTGGCTTACGACTCCTAAGCCTTTCCAAACGAGAACTTCGCCTCTCATGTGGTTGTTCTTCTTGGGAATTTGCTTCCTTTCCTTTAAGGGCACTTGAACTTTCTATGTTACCATCACCAAAAACAATACTGTCACCACTAGGCCCTTTCCCCATTACAGTGTTCATACCATTTTCTAAACAGGATATAGATATGCTTAATCTGATGTCCTTAGACTTGCTTGCTTTTTCAGGCTCTGTCTTAGAACTCTGAGCATTCAATGGAGACAAGATTTCCATCAGTGCATCAGCAAGAGCCACCCAGGAAGCTTCTGTTAGATGAACTTCTATGTTCTGGTTCAGTTTCTTAACTGCAACAACCTCATCCAGAATTTCATCAGTAGCTTTTCTCTTGTCAGGAAATTTAAGCCGTACATGCCTTGGTTGCAGCTTGTCTATACCTCTGGGAGCAAATGGCAATGGTTCCAACTCTTCAATGGTATTTTTAACATACAAAGCACGTGAATGTGATGGCCAATGCCTCAGAATTAATTCTGCAACAGAGAGGCATGCAACCTCATCGCCAATAGCAATAAGAACTTCCAAAAGTTTTTCCATGCAATTCCCTGAAGACAGAGCCAAGGGAGAAAAATCAGAGGCATAAATACTAGATAAAAGAAAAACAGATCCTCAGGCGGGCATATTCAAATGGAATTCATGATGAAGAAAGAGAAGGGAAAACCCAACACAAGTACATGCAGAGGAAAAGTAAGGTGCACTCAAGTGACCAGTCAAGCATGGTACAAATAAAAGAACAAAGGATAGCTAGGTACTTACAGTTATTAGGGCTACATACAAGGCCTTGCTCAAACGCCCACCGTGATATACTCAATAGGCCCATTGAGCATGACAATGTTCCCAGTTGGTTCCAGACAACAGAGTCTTTGGAATCGATCTCCACAGCTTGAAGATAACAGTGTAATGCATTCTCATAATGAGAGGAACCTTGCTGAAGAAAAACGGAGGCCAGGTTCTTCAGTGCCAAAAATCTGTTGATACAACTATTAAGTACCACTAATATAATTTCAAGGAATAGACCTTGCCTATCAGTCAATTGGCATTTATTCGACAACAAAAAACTCACTGATCCCAATTAGAAAAGTGCTGTTCACTATGACTACACCACTGAAAAGCAGTGAAGATATCTATTATCCATAGTTACATAATACTAAGATATTTAATTAAAGTTAGATCAGAATCTGGAGGATTGCCCAAAAAACAGATAAGCAGATGGAAGCAGGGAAAAACTGCAACATAAAAGGCATGAGAAATGAATTCTCAGGTTTGACCTCAAACCATATTCAAAATTCATTTATGTTATGGAAAGGGCAGGAAAAATGTATTATACTGAGAAAAATAGGCATCATATAGAATATCTGGATTTTGATAGAGGGTATACCCCAAAAACGGGAACAGTAAATATAAAATCTGCATTATAGCACAGGACAAAACCTGAGTTGCAACAAATGACCATCAATGGCACTGCTATCCACCTGGAAAAGAGAAACACATCAAATTGTTATTTTAAAATAGAATTGGGACACCCCAATATATAAAATGTTTATGAAAAGGGGCAAAAAATTACTTGCGCATTAGCTATAAGAGGATCTTTGAGAACAGACTCTAAAAGCTCCCGAGCCTTTTCATATTCTTTTGATTGTAACTTAAGAAGTCCTTCATGATAAGTTTGAGACAAGTGAAATTCCTGGAACAACAGGAAAAAAATGTTGGAAATGCTCATGAAATAGCTTGCAGACGCCAGCCCCCCCCCCCCTATTAGTCATCATCAAGAAAGAGCATAAAGCGGGAAAAAGGCCAACATATTTAGTTCCCCCATCAGACTCAAAATTTACAGCCAACAACAGTTATCCCAAGAACAAATAGACATAAGGAAAAGAGATGAGCTTTCTGTCCAGTTGTCATCTCACTAGACTCTGTTATCAAGATTCAGAAGCATCATCTAAAACCAAGTAAACCAAAAAGAAAGATCCACACCAGGGATTCCTTCGTTGGAGCAAGTGGTTCCCACCGACTTCTGGAGTCCGTATCATTGATAGCAGCAATAGAGAACTGAGGAAAAAAAAGGGGAGAAAAAATGAAACTCGCGCAAATCCATGTAGCTTATGACAAGAACGAGGAAGTTGTCACAGAAATGAGTATGGATGAGATTTTTTTGTAAACCTAACATAATCTCACCATATTCGACGTTCAGTATGAGATCTTCAGGATCGAGTGGCTCCTCAATCTTTTCTAGTACTTTATTCTTTCAATTCAATGTAGCACTTCAATCTTCCTTCTCCACACAAGAAGGTAACTCGGTAAGACTTCGATTTTGGCTTCAAATCTTTCCGTTTCCAGGCGCGCGCCTGGGCAGCGGGGCGGGCCCGGCAACGACGTCGTTAAGAGGTTCGTTCGTTTCCCGCTTGAGTAGGAGTAGGCTCGTAAGAAAAGGATAAGCTCTTGTCGCGCGTAACCATACATTGATACAGATTCTGCTGCTATACGTGTAATTTTTCTGATAAACATTATACATGTGATTGATATTGATATTCCCCCCAAAAAAATATAAATTTAGAAAACAAAATAAATAGAGTCTTATATTTTCCCAGTCAAAAAAAAGTCTTATATTTAAAATAAAAACAAATATCTTGTTTAGCTTATATAACTAAGACTGTGCATATAAAATATATTTAAGATATTATTAGACAATGAAAATCTTATTAAAATCATCAAAACAGATATAGGCATGCTCAATAATGGATAATAAATAATTCTTATAAAAAAATATTAAAAAAATTAATAATATCTACGCATAATTTTATTTAGGGTTAAGATTCATGTAACAATGAAGTATTTTATTGATACTTCGGTTCATTCTACATCTGAAATATTTTTGGGTAAAATTCATCTAATACACTCATAGAATGATATATTCCGTAGTATAATTTTATCATTTTTGAATTAATTTGCACTTTATGAATATATCAGCCTGTTGAGAATAACGGAATGCGCACGTCTTGTGGATTTTGGTGCAATCAATGAGCTCATAGTCGCCTAATGATCATCGATTAATAGTTTTTGCGGGTGGTCGTACTCAAATGGGATACTTTACTCAGGTTTTTTGAACTAGTTGGTATGTTGACCACTTTACATGAGCTGCATCAATGAGTCTACTTTAATACAAGATATACCACCTCCTGTCACAAATATATGTTGATTATCTTAAATTATTTTCTTAAATTATTTGCATTGAATGATTAGTTAGAATTATCCCTCTTGATAAGAACTTTTTATAATCAATAAGAATTTTTTTCCCGTATCAATCAATAAGAATATTTTAAAAAAAGATGAGATTAATATCTTATAATTAGTACCTAATCTTACCTTGCAATTAACAAGGTAGTATGTCGTAGTTGAATTCATTTTATAGGTGTAAGAGTTCAATTGATGTTATAGACCTCAGCTAGTAGTATGCCTACCACTGCGGCTGCCTTGCTGATTGGGTATCTAATAGTATTGGCGATACTCTGACTCGAGATCTGCATTCATCATTCCTTTTCTCCTTCGATCATATCTGTCATCCAATAATCAAATCCCGGGTTCAGCTGATCAAGTTTCAAAATGTTCTTGCCAACTCCTACGTAGCCAGCCTGAGTTACATCCTCCCATTGAATTAGACTTGTGCTAATTATCATCGCATTTGCTTGTGATTATGTCTGTGTGTAAAAAAACACAGAAAACACAGACATAATCAAGACAGACCCCTCAGCCCATAGGAAAAAAGGAGAGAGCACCAAGGACCTGGCTTACAAATTGATAGTATTTATTAACGGGACAAGGAAATTTAAAAGGTTGAAAGATTTAGCTCCAATAAGGAACAAGACACAAAAACGCAGAAACGACAAAGGACCCTGAAAATATGATAAAACTACAACTTGAGAAGCAAAATCCTTCTGACCAAACAAGAGAATACAATGAAATAAGCAAATTCAGATGGTACCGCCTTCAACAAAAGATATAGATACTCCGTGATTAGGATCCCTGCGTAGCATCTTGGGCCTTACCCTGCACGTACTGCCCATAATCCTTGGCCTTTTCCTTCATGCCCCTGGCCTTATCTGCAATCACTGCTCCGGCGTAGTCAAGCCGATCAGATCCCGGCGGGTGCTTCCCGGCAACGTAATTATATATCCACGACAACGCTGCTATAGCGGCCACACCACATCCACCGGCGAACAGAAAACCAGCAATTAGAAGGAATAAAGCAAAACCGGCGGGGACTAGGATCGGACTGAACAAAATTAAAAGCGGGGTTGCAATGATCAAGGCAGTGACGGTGCCGATCAAGGTTAATCCGGACAAGAGCAAGAGGACAAGGCCAAGAGTGGCGGCGGTGAAGAGCTTCACGGTTTGGCGTGAATGTGGGGAAGAAGAGTCATAATTCGAGGGCGGATAGGATGACATGGATCCTGTTTGATCGGACATTGTTGCTGAGGAGGGGAAGGCTGCGGAAGAGCGAAAGCCGAATTGAGGGAAGGATGGTTGTCCAGGAGAGTGGGAAGAGCAGTGATGTGAAGTTGCGGACGATCCCATGTAGTGCGGCACTAAGATAAAGAAACGTCGTAGCAGCTTTGCATGGGATTGGACTGAATCGCCCTAAACGCTCCATTTGTGCTCCTCTAACTGACACGTGTCACTTCTGGGTCAAGCCTCCATGATTCCTACTGAATCTGTCAAAATGCGAGCATCAAGTTTTTGTTTTTACTTATTTAATTATTAACCATGGGAGTTGAAATTTGGTTTGCCTCAATTTAAACTCCATATATTCAGCATGCATGTTGATTGACACTTGACAGAAATCATATCGATCTCTTTCAACTGAAGGAGGGCATTCGCAAGGTTTGATGGATTGTCCAGCGACGAGGGCAAAATCTTGAGAAATTAGGGCGGCGAGAGGGATTAGCGAACGGGTAGAAGAGAAGCGGCCAGACATGTTCCTCTTATTAGCAGATGTGGGGGGCAAGATGAAGACGAAGGTTAAGAGACTAGTTAACACCGTGATTTAAAAAGAAAAATCATGTCCTGCCAAAAAGGAAAATTACGCGTCATAAGTTAATTGAGGAGCCTGCAAATAAGCTTATGACTACCCTCATGCAAGTGTTATCCTTCAAACAGATTTTGAAATTTTCAATCAAGACATAACTAAAAAAGAGATTATTCTGAACTTTCATAGCAATATTAATGAAAACCAAATCATTTTGAATTTTATTCAATGAATACTCAACCAAGAAAAAAATTACTACATACTTTCAAAGTACCCATACACATGAAAGGTCAATGATTAACCATCTAAATTCAAGTATCACCTTCACAATCTTCATAGTTACATATCAAATTTGTCAATCAAGAAGCCCCTGAATATATCAAGCGTAAGTCAAAACAATCACTCGTCAACTTTAGCCAAACACAATCACCACACTTGTTTACCTCATTTCACTTTGGTTCATGTGTCGAGATTTTTGATTAAATAATAGAAAACAAAAATGAAAACCATCGAGATTAGAAACTTTCAAGTCACTTGCTACCGACCACCAACAAACACCATAGAAAAGTGATGATCCAGTAACTAGTCATTTTGGGAAACCTCATTTTCAGTGGCATTATCCCGTGTCATTGATGATGACTGGAGTGACCTTGATAAAATACCAACAGCTATAATAAGAACAAATCGAAGAGCTTCCATCACTGTACGCTTCCGGCACGGCCGGTCCTGGTCCAAATGATACCACCAAATACAACAGCAGATAAGCAAGCCACGGTTTAGTTTTTTGTCCCATTAATCCCGTCAGCTTGTTTTTCAGATTGTTGTCCATCTTCGCAGCTGTCACTATCCAGCAACTGAGTACGAGGCGGCTTTTCCTTTTTGGCTTCATTAACGTCTTTGGGGTTCAAAAAGCTCGGCTGGTTGGTCGAAGAAAGGAGTCTTGCCCACATTCTGTCTGTTATCACAACCTTGTTCTGCCTCTCAGTGATTCTCTGGTTTTCAAAATTATGACATCCACAATATAGTCAGGACAATTCTGATTTTACGAAAATACAAAATCCGGAAACTAAATTATTGGCATGATGCTTCATCAGCTGCTTTTGTTCACATGCATTTAAAATGCGTGGCAATAACGAGTGATATAAAATGCAGTTTCACTCTTTCAAATTAATTATAGAAGGAACAATATATTTTAGGTTTATCATTGGCAAGCAGTTGCCGCACACACTGTCACAAACACACGGAGCAATGATTCGGCACCTAAGGATATGGGATTAGACTTACATTGAATGGAATATAGGTATGTCTGCCATTGACCAGCCCAACTGTGAATCCAGTATACCCAGCCATTGCACCATGAACTGCACTCTGAGCAAGAAGTGTGCAGTAGACATTGTCGGATGCATTGCTTGGAATTGCCCGGATCATGTAAGTAGGATCTGCCAGATAACTCAGTTTAGGAACTCCAAATTATCTTCTAGGTTCAATAAAAAGAAGCTTCCAATCTTCTCCCCTCAGGTCCCTCATTCCCCATCAAAATAACGCACCATATGAAGATATAAATCCATAAAAGAGGAGTCAGCATAGAGAAACTCACCTATATATTTGAGAGTAATAGACATCTTATTTTGCTTTGCAAAATGATCCTATTAGAGGAAAAAAGAACGTTAGAGTGCACATGGGTCTTGGAACAAGATGCTATAGTACCAAAAGTTAATAGGTCAAAACAGTGCCATTGAGTTTCAATATCCCCTTCCGAAACTCAAGTGACAATGCCACCAAGTTTAAAAATTCAAATAATGAATCACTTTCGTTCATCTAGATATATTCGCAGTCATATGGTGTAAGCAGGAAAGAAAAATCATATTACCAAAAGAAAAAAAAAATTCCCCCCCGGGGGGCGCCGGGGAGTCATACCTTAATCCTGTGAGATATCCATAGACCAACATCTTGAAGCAGTTTGTTTCCAGAAGCATCCTTCTGGTTCGCAGCCTGCATACTTTCTGTAAGAACATCTTGTCCTGCTCCCTCAGCGATGACTATGACCATATGTCCATTTTCTTTTAGCCTTTTCTCAATAAATTCAAAAAGTCCACCCTTTCCCTCAAGGTAGAAGGGTGACTCTGGAATCAAACAACAGTCCACATCTCTACTAGCAAGAGTAGCATACATTGCAATGAAACCTACAGAAATAGATACTCGTGATAATTAAGGAAAAGCTGCTGACATCATTTAAGAGAACTTCAATGTAAAATTGAGTCATTTATACTTCCATAATGTACTAAGGGTCCAAATTGTCCAAATTAGAAGCTTATAAGGTGTCAAATATAAATGTGATGCGTACCACTGTAGCGTCCCATTAGCTTTACAACGCCAATCCCATTCTCAGCACTTTCAGCCTCAACATGTGCTGCATTAATGGCACGTTGAGCCTCCTCAACAGCAGTATCAAAACCAAAGGACTTGTCAATAACCTAAAGCGAAAGAAGGAAATTTACATGAAGTTCCTTGAAAATTTTGATAACTAAGGAAATTACAAGAATTTCCTTCCAAAAATTTGATAATTAGCTCCTCCTTGGTTAGTAGAAATCACTAAGAAGTGAGCTGAACTTGTGAAGAACAAAGAAATGTGATCAAGCATACCGGAATGTCATTATCTATGGTTTTAGGAATTCCAGCAATTGCTACTTTGAGACCCCGCCTTCTAATTTCCTGCATATAATCAGAATCTACTCAAAATATTTACCTAATATATCAGAAGATGCTAAGAATGACAATGAATCAATCAAGCAGCTGCAGAACAGGTCCACAGAAATTAAAAATGTTGTTCCAAAGATTCATTGCTTAGCAATCTCGACAAAATTTTGAAAAATGAAAAGATCATAATACCAGACTTTGTGGTCAATTGACTTATATTTCTTCAGTGTCCAGCAGTTGGTTGCTTCAGGAATAATCTCTTTGGTATTCTTGGGGAGAGACTGTGCATCCTAGCACTTTGGATTAGTTTTTCCAAATTCATTATAAAGGATTTGATAAAGGATAACAGAACTTTGTGGCAATGGGCACTTTCTGGGAATGTGGTTTCTCAGGTTGGAGTTGAATTTCCCTACCTTCAAGGGCATAATGTTCTGGGATGGAATTTTCTATATGGCTGTTGTTCTAGAGCTTGACCTATGGTTTTTTCATAGGAATCTCTATTTCTGATATGCAAAGAGATTGGACACCTCATTCACCCAAAAAAAAAAGAGCAGAGATTGGACATCTCTTTTGCACTATTTTGCTCCTGGGAGTTTTTAGTACTTCGTTCTGTTTTTAAAAAAATATAGGTTAAAATATTTTTTCAATCCTTGTAGTTTCACCCAATTTTCAATTTGGTCTATAAATCTTAAAATTGTGTAATTGGGTCCTTATAGTGTAAATTTTTATGCTTTCACTACAATCGGACTTCCTGATTTAGAATTAAAATTTTTATTGATGTAGTAATCCACATGCAATGACGGTGTGTCTGATTGGTCATGCCAACATAATTTAATGGCATAGTGGTAGGGTTTCAATAATAGGGAAAACGTAAGTTTTATAAAATAATGGGGACTAAATTACATGCCTTTTAAAGACTAAGTTAACAATTGAATACTACTATAGGTACCAAAAAAGTAAATCAACCAAAGATATATGCAAACCCTAGTTCTCCTTCAAGTGATTTCCACTTATTTCAATTTTTATTAGGGCTAGGAGAAGCAACATTTTACTACAAAATACCTCATATATCACAGCTGCTCCTCTTTGGGTTCCATCTCCTCCAATTATGTAAACCTGTAACCATAACCAAACATATGACTATTCATGCCATGACAATAAACTACCCGGGCTTAAATGCATACAACAAACAAAATTTATTTTCTCAGCATTCAGCATCCAACTTCATCTAAATAAAATTAACGCATCGGACCTGGTTAATTCCACGATCCTGTATGCTGTCAACTATCTTGGCAGTATCATGCCCTCCTCGTGATGTCCCAAGAATGGTACCCCCACGCTTATGTATATCATTGACCACCTTGGGTGTTAAAGTAATGGTGTTCTTGGAGTAGAAACCTCTGTAACCCCCCTGTATATAACCACAGGGAAATTGGTGGAGAAACCAATGTACATGGCAGTGCAAATCAATTAAAGAAAAGATAAAAGAGATTTAAAGATATCCTAATATTAGTTCAGTTGAAAATCTATACTAAAGTAAGTTTTGAATAGAAGGTAATTGCCATTCCAACTTAAGGCTTGTTGGTGACAACATATTGTTTTCACCTTGAGTCAATAGTTCGAAGCAGGTGCCTCTGAAACGTAAATTGCCATTGTCAACCTTGAATAGAAGAAAGTAATTAATTTCCAGCACCTACATTTATTAGTTAGCACCAGCAAAACCCATAAGATGCCCATGTTTTACCTAATTATTCATCGCGCTTTTGTCTTAATGACTGGAACATCCACAGGGTGAGCACCAAAATGATGTCTTCATATTACATAGGCCTCTCTTTTGGTAAAATTACGTAGGCATCGTCCTTATTTGTAAAATATACAAGAATATCTCTTCAAACAAAAAGTTATGCTAGACTGTAGTCTAATTTTAAATTTCTTGACTAAAATAACGTCCATCAACCACTCCTACATATTCTTTTATAGAAGCTGTTTTCGTAAAGTTTTGACTAAAGCGAATATTCCAAAAATAAGAGGAAAGTCTATGTAATTTTAGAAAAACTGAGCAGAATTTTGAATGATTTACTCATATTTCAATTTTAATTTCGATGTTGATTTTGCAAAATATTCATAGATTGTTATGTAATGAGAAGCTCCATACCTAATCGATCAAGTTCAGAGCACCGAAAACAAGTTCCTCCACAGATCCAGCGGAAGTAAAGACAAAACACATAGCTAAGAGCCTAAGAGAACTCTAGCATGCCTAAGAAGAAAATAGAAGTGCTCTACAAGACTTGTAGAATTATCAACGCATCCAAATAAACCTGATTAATCTAAGAGGTTGCAAACAAGTATATACTGATGACCACTTTGTAATACATTTCATAAATGAAATCCGCTCTATGTTCATATCATATACTAAGAACATCATTCTAGCATCCAATTAAGTACTAACATCTTTGGTCAAGACAAAATATTAACATCCAAAACATTTATACCATGTTTGGAATGATTGATTGCAGGGATAATTACCCATGCCATTCTACGGAAAACATGAAATAAGTCAAAAAACAGTAGCCTGGCAAAACGAGTACATCATAATTTCACAACTGTAAGCTTTATTTACCAGTACACATCAGAGGCTTCATAACAAGGAAACAGATAATGTATTGAACGTAAACTAACTGTGAACATGCCACTTACATCTATACCAAGGATTTTGCTGACACCGTACATGTGAGATAGACCACAGACTATTTCCCTTATCACTGTGTTGAGTCCAGGGCAAAGACCACCGCATGTAACAATGCACGCATGCACATCATCTGACTTGAAATATACCTGCACAGCATATTAAGTTACTTTCAGTTAAATCCAAATGGTTCTCAATAATACATCTGCACAATAAAAAAATTACCTTTTGGCGGGGTCCTGCACGTCGAAAATGTACACCCCTTGGACTATCCTTGTGAACGACAATCTATGAAAAGATTGCACAGAAGTTAAAACCAATGCACCCTGTTAATGCTGATGATAAAGGGGGAGGAAAAATGCAATTTTCTTTCCTTCTTCTTTTGCAGTGAAAGGATCAAAGAAAAGGGGGGTGGAAGCCTTTGGCATCAGTTTTCTCTATTTCAATGTAGCAATAAAAGAACTTCCTCCCCCTTTCAGCCTTTCTTTTCCCTGAATATAGACAAAAAGGCAGACCCTGAAGGGACACTATACTGACTTCGAATGAAAAAGGAGTTCATTGAATTTTAAAGATGTTTGAGATAGAAGGAGAATGGAACCTTCTGAGGAACAGTGTCATCGACGTCGACAAAATACTGCCTGATGATAGATATAAAACCAGTTAAGAATCAATATATTGATTACAACCAGCATGCAACGCACATTCTAATATTAACGAATTGGAGGGCCTCACTTACTTCACAACTGAATAAGCTGGGTTAGATCGCAGCGGATTTGGGTATGTCTGCGAATACAATCAGGAACCATGTAAAATTATAAAGTGAACAGCAAGCTCCAATAAAAATCAAAACATATAAAGGATTCATCTTGCGATCAATAAACTAACGAGTGTAGTTTCCCTGAGCTGGTGAGACTACCACATTTCCACCCAGAAGAAACTGAAATTGAGAAAGGAACAAAACAAAACAAAAAAAAAAAAAAAACCATGGAAATGAAACAGAGTAGAAGAAGAGAGATACGGGAAGACTAGGAATGTAGTCATTGAAGTGAGGAACGTCCTCAAGTATGTAACCAAAGTCTCCATGGACGATCTTCATCTGCGAATCCTGAGATTCCATTTTGTGCTACGGTTTCTATCCAATTTCCTTCCTTTTTTTGTTGTTGTTGTTGTTTTTTTTTTTTTTTGGCTTTCAAAGAAAGATGGCGACGAAAAAGCAATGAGATTCCTTAAGCCTTAGCAGCAGGAGGTGCTTGCGAATACGAAAAGCTGAATTTATATATGCTAGCGCCGCGAGAGAAGACGGAGATCACGTGAGAAAGGAATGCTCTCCAATCTAGACCGTCCCTGTCAATGCATTTATGGCGAAAACTGGCGGCGCAGATTCAAGAAATTTCTTTGATTTGCAATACAGGGAACTGAGTATTGCCGCTAAGGAATCCAGGGCGTCTTGCCAACGGCACTTTTTTTTTTTTTTTTGGGGGGGGTGGGGTTTGCGGTTTGGCTGAAATGCAAAACCAGCGGCGCGAAGCGACTTTGCTGGGCACTGTAAGCAACACTCCCGCCGCAAAATTATTCTAACTCTCGGTGTAAATATTAGTCAAAAAAAGATGGAAAAAGGAATAAAACTTGCCTAATTAAAATAATAAAAGATTTGGGCAAGAATAAAGATGATAAAGATATAATAGAGATTGTACATCTCATGTTATAAAATTAAAAAAAAAAGAGAGAGAGATTGTACATCTCAACTTTAATTTGTGCAATGGAATCTGATTCCATTTCCAGCAAGAAAACTAGACTAGCCTATTATTTGTGTGTCAATTTCTTGTAAACAATTGAAAGTCCAGGAATTAAATTTAAATCTAAAATATTTCAACATAAAATTAATTATATACTTTCTTTGGTTGAAATATAGAGTTATTGATAAATAACGAGATTGCATATTTAAACTTCCATGCAATAAAGTGCGATCTCACTTCTAGGAATTAGATTAAAAATATTTAACATAGAATTTAACCTTTTCATTTTGGTTGATTAATTATATCTTTCAATTTAAATTTTTAATTGTTGACTATTTATATAAGATGATACTATCTCAAGTCCTTAATATAAGAGCTAGTTTAGTATTTAATTTAATTCTAAATATAAAATTTCAATCTACCTTGTTTATCATATTTATCCTTTTTTTTAAGTAATCGAGTTATACATGTTAAAGTTTTTATTAAATGATAGTTCTAACTAATATACATAATTAGCAAGGGTATCTAGAAAAAATAACACTTTTTTATTACAAATTACTAACTTAATAAACTTTTTTAGTCTATTCAAATTAGTCAATTAGCTCTTATATTAAGCACAAGAGCCTTAATTAACAATAGTAAGATTTTTTATTAAAATATTAACTTGAGGCGGTGACATGTGACGCTTTTGTTTGTAAATTACTACCTCTGGTCCTTAATATAAGACTCTATTTGACTTTTATTTTGGTCCCAAATATAAGACCCCAATCCACTTTGTCTTTTATATTTATACATTTTTTTTTCAAAATAGCCCTTTTAATAATAAGAATTCTAGTCAATACACTTAATTAGCAAAGATATTTTAGGAAAGACAACACCTATTTAGGACAAATAACTAACTCAACTTACTTCCTTAGTCTCCTCAAATTAATCAACCGGCTCTTATAATTAAGACCGGAAGCAGTATTATTAAGGACTACAAAAAATAACACAGTAGGACCCCATTGCAAATTAAAAAGAAAAAAAGAAAATGAAGAGGAGGGGAAAAACTAAAGTCAACTGTGGACGAAATTCAGGTCTCGCCAGTATATAGCTTAAAGTTAAAACAGATAGGGGGGAAACAGGGGAACAATGGCCACAACGCGGTTCATGCATGAATGCGTTGTACCATTTAACTTTGGACTAACTGTATTACTGGCCAAACCTTACTTTTCCGGACAGAGAATAATGACGGTTTAGTGTGAGTGACGATTATTCAGGCAGGGGGGGAACTTGTAGCTCAGACCCAATGGGCATCTTCAACCACAATCCATGGATTGATCCCCGAACCCGAGCCAAGAAAGGGATATGTACTTGGACGTCAATAATGTGCTCCACTACAGTCCTCTCATATGCCTCATAAGTAGCTTTCATCACTTTCACCTACGGCCGAGCTTTCATCACTTTCACCGATAGCCGTGCTGCTATCCTTGTAATTAGAAATGTATGTGGTATCGCCTAGAAGGGGAGTAATATCAAACCCAGTTCCGATTTTCTTACTGTCATGATCTGGTGGACAACATTGCTGAAGAACCTGCAAAATCTCTCTCATGGAAGGTCTAGCTGAGGGTGATAGGCTTGTGCAAGCTAGGCCTAGTTTAAAGACCTTTATCATCTCCTCCACATAACATGCTTCTTTGATTTCTTCATCCAAGGCATCAGCAAGGCACTTCTCTTCACTGTGATACTGCCATGCCCAATCTACTAGGCTTGTATGCTCCTCTGTGCTGTAGGGTTCTTTTCCAGTTACAAGCTCCAGTAGCACCACCCCAAAACTATATACATCCACTTTCTCGTTGATCTTGGTCGAATAGGCATATTCTGCAAAAGCAAGTTAGATCATGTAAAGACGGCTTTTATAAATCTGAGGCCATAAAAACTACCTCCTCTAATTCTAAATATAAAATCTAGTAGCACAAATTACACTGCAAAATCAGATTTTATATTTAGGACAGAAAACAGCATTCCTTTTTCCAATCAAATTCGCTCACCCGGGGGTATGTAGCCGAAAGATCCCGCTATGGCAGACAAACTGTGTGGCTCCCCAGACTTCGCCAACATCCTGGCTAGACCAAAGTCTGCAATACTTGCCCGGAATTCCAAGTCCAGTAATATATTGCTACACTTTACGTCTCTATGGATGATTGGTGGGGAGCAATCGTGGTGCATGTAACACAATCCATGTGCAGCCCCAATGGCAATCTTCAACCTTGTTGGCCACGTCAAGACCAGATGATTGTTGAGCGCAGTCGATGTTTTTCTCTTTCCATGAAGCCATTTATCAAGGCTCCGATTTTCCTTGTATTCATACACAAGGAGTTTTGAGTTTCACTTGAAACGTAGCACAGAAGCTTCACAATATTGGAATGCCGAATTGTGCCTAAGATTTCCACCTCAGACATAAAGTCTTTCTCTAGATTATCATCCAACCTCTTGCTACTCCAGATCCTTTTTACGGCAACATACTCACCTGGACGATTAGAGGGAACCCGGTAAACTTGTCCAAAGCCCCCGCTTCCAATGAGGTTATCATCTGTCAGATTTGAGAAGAGATTCCATTGTGAGAAATCTAGCCTCTGGAATGAAGTAAGTTTCCACGTTGAAAGGTTGCGCCTGGGATTCTTTCCCCAGATGTCTTTGAACTTATAGAAGGCCAGTGAGGCGGTGGCTAGCAACACAATGACGGCGAGAACAAGAATCAAGGCAAGCAACTTGAAGGACGATTTGTTTGGATATCGAGGGGTTTTGGTCAAGCATTTTGGAAGTTTGATATTTGGATTATAAGCACATAGATTGGGATTGTTCAAGAAACTGGTGCCATATGCGAGGTTATTGAAAACATCAGGAATGCTACCTGAAAGGTTGTTGGAGGACAAGTTGAGAAAAACGAGCCTCATATTGCCAAGATGAGGTGGGATTTCACCAGATATATCATTATTAGATAAATCCAAGTCGACAAGATTAGGAAGATCACCAATAGTTCCCGGAATTTGCCCTGAGAGTTTGTTGTTCGAGAGTGTTAAAGTATTCAGGGATTGCCAGGAGTCTATCTCAGATGGTAATTCACCGGAAAGTTGATTATTGTCAAGCCTGAGAGAATTAAGTCGGGAAAGAGCCGTCAAGTTCTTGGGAATTTCACCAGAAAGCATATTGTTTCTCGCATCAAATACTACTAGATTTACTGCGGAAAAAATTCCAACCGATATCTCTCCTGAAAAGCTGTTATTTCTGATCTCTAGTCTCGACATGTTCCATGGAAGTTTACTAGGAAGTCGACCAGAAAACGAATTCTCGCTCAACATCAAGGTTGATAAATTTTTGGATGTCCAAAGACTCACAGGAATCGCACCAGAAAAATTGTTCCTGTAAAGCTGAACTGTGCGCAGTGTTGTGCAATTTCCGAGCAATTCGGGCAATTTTCCACCAAGATTGTTAGAAAAAGCAATCACACCTTGCAAAGCATTATTAGCACACAAGTATTGAGGCAATACACCACTCAATTGATTGTCTGCGACTTCAAACACTTCAAGCTTTGAATATAGGCCTAATTCTGGAGGAAGAGTTCCATTCAACTTATTGCTAAAAATCTTGAAGCGCTTTAGCGTTTTGATTAGACCTAAACTTCTCGGAATCGGACCAGATAATTGATTGAAATAGAGGCTGAGTATCCTCAAGTTCTCCAACTTTCCAAAATCTTCAGGAATCAAGCCCGTGAAGTTGTTCATTGCCAAATCAATGTCAATCAAATTCAAGGCCTGGATCGAACTAGGTATTTCACCAGACAATCTGTTGTGGTACAGATACAGAAATTGTAAATTCTTGAGAGAGAACAAACTAATGGGAATGCTACCTGTCAAATTGTTCAATGACAAGTCCAATTGCACTAGATTCGTCAGGTTGGCAAAACTTTCAGGGATTTCACCGACTAAATTGCAGCTGGTCATCCAGATGAACGTCAAATTCCTCAAGTTCCCAAACTCCGATGGGATCGCCATGGGCACAAATTCGTCATTATAGGCCAAAGTAAGGATTTCGAGCTTAGATAAGCTCCCAATTTCCTTGGGAAAAGTTCCATTGAATTCGTTGTTGTGGAGGCGCAGCGTTTGTAACGCCGGTAATCTCCCGATGGCCGGCGGGACATCACCTGAAAAATAGTTGCCATTAAGGTCTAAGAACGTTAGAGTTTTGAGTCTGTCAATGTCGTCGGGTACTGGGCCAGCGAAGTAATTTTGAGAGAGGGCAAGGAATTGGAGGTTGGAGCAATTGTACAAAAATCTGGGGAATTCTCCGCGGATGTTGTTGTTTGAAAGGTCGAGCACCGTCAGATTCTTGAGGTCGCAGATAGCTGGCGGTAGCTTCCGGGAGACACCTTTTCCTGAGAGAAGGAGCTGGGTGACGACGCCATGGGCGCAACGTATCTCTGGCCAATCGCAAGGTGAGGACGATGAGGTCCACGATCGAAGCGACGGTGGATCGCCCAGTTGATGTTTAACGTTGAGCAGGATGATCTGCTCGGAGACTGCGGCCCGCGAATCTGCACTGGAGGTCAGTGAGAAGCTAAGGAAGACGAAGAAATGCAACACAAGCGGGGAAATTCCGGGCATTCGAGACGTTGCGGTCTGTTGGTGTGGTTTGGAAATTTGCCGGGAAGACATGGCGAAACCAACGGTCAAAATTCAAACATGGAGGG